TACAGTTTACATTCTGAACTATTAGCATAAATAATCTGAAGATTAATCATTAATGAAAATGGTGTTGTTGCAGTTCCAGTTTGAACCATAGTGTTTAGGAAAAATAGACACAGCTTTGAAAGACAGAAACATTATGGACCAAAACAAAGGTACAATTTTTTAAGAAACTGGTTTAAATAGAAAATCAGTTACTTGCTGACTTTACAGGGAACATCCATAAGGTTATCTAATCAGATTTTCTGTAAAATATCAAAGTGAGATAATGAATGAACTCCAACCCAACCTTGCTGTGGATATCTTTTAGTTATATTGCTGAATTCTCAGTGACGGGGTGGGCTTTCATGTGCTAGTTATCCTGATATTGCAGAGTAATTCCATTTCACTGCAATCTAATGTGGTTTGTCTATTCTTGGAAATGGGAAACTGCAGTGGGGGACAGTTTTGATCACACTTAACTCAATATGGGTACAATTGCATTTGGACAATCATCTTGAGAGACTAACACAGTGGAATTGACCCTTACAAGGAGAGAGTGAATTGTCAAGGTTGGACACTGTGATTGATGCGCTACTACTAGGCTTGCCACAAGTAACATTGTCAAAAGATCATTCTTGTAGCTTGTTTTTAATTTTCCTTAGACCTGTCTGAATACATTTGCTGAATTGCACATGTTCGTTATCTAAATGATCAGTGGGAGTGCCTCTCACACACATACACACACGCCAACACAGCATTCCTTGCTGTAATTGGCTACGGTGCAGTGTTGATCTTTAAACTCAAGTCATCTTGGAATCCTCTGTCTAAACAACTAGAGAGGCTTGAAAAGCCTGTTCCCCTCAGCCCTGCAATCAATGGCATCTGCTTCGTGGCCCCTCTGGATTTAATGGGAGAAGGGATCCAAATTACACAGCAAAGGGCCACATCAGCATCTTATGGGCTGTAGGCTTTGTAGCAGATATCCTCAGCTTACAGTAAATGGCAGTATAGTCCTGCACCTCCCTACTGGGGCTGCATTTTATTTACCTTCATACACTATAGAATCACTGACAAAGAAACGTGTTTCCCTCCATAATAACTGTTACAGTATCTCTTGTTTTTTCACATCTCTCTTCCTCAACCTCACGGCTTTTTTCAGCAGGGCAGGTCAAGTGCATGCTGCCAGCTGCAGCCACTCTTTCCCTCTAAGATGTTTTCTTATTACAGTGTCTTTTATTTGATGGTTTGATGCTACAGCCTTTCATCTCAGAGAGACACACACACACTCCGATCTATGTTTCTGTGTCTACAACAGATGTTCTTAAGCATGTGCCATTGACCCTAAAGACTCAATAGTTTTCTTGTTCGGCCCAAGATACTGCAGTTCCTAATTTTATAGATTTAACCACCATAAACCAGGCACTGGACTGTGACCTCTGTTTGTAAGAGTGAACACCTGCATACTCTCTGGACTTGGTTACCCAAAAGGATATTCTTTTTTTAAAACTTAAGGTCTAGTGGCTGTAGCCTAGCTGCAGGCTATTGAATTTAAGCTTACTATTGTAATACTGAGCCAGTAGTCTGTTAAAAGGCTATATTTTTATATAGCGGATTAACTTAATCCCTGAGATATAGCCCCAATGACCTAGCCTTATAGCTGCTCTGCTCTTAGGAATATCTACAGTGCAGGCTGCAGTGTTAATGGACACATTTCTTTGCACTGGCTATAATTGTCAGTTTGCAATTCTGAGCTGTCACACCAGTCCCAAACCCTGGCAGACAGCTTTGACTTAGCTGATGCTGTGATGGAATTAGAAATCTATTGCTATAATAGTGAACCGCAGCAGCGAAGGCAGCTTGTCCGCCCTCTCCTTCCCCAGGGCGATCCCTTCGCCCTGTCTCAGGTAGGCAGGAAGTGCAATTCAGCAGTTGCTTCTGTCATCCACTCTGATAGACAGAAGGCAAGTGTAGCATATTTTTGCCAAACGTTGTCATATGCAATCCAAATGAGTGTCGCTTGGCTCCATGGTTGTGTGAGACGACCTAAGATGATGCTTCCTGGTGAGCTGCTGTGCTACTGTTTGTGTGTTTTTGAACTATCGGGTTGTTATTGAACTGTTTAATTTTACTCGCTGCTGTATCGATGAATATTTAATGAACTCTCAAGTTGTTTGGCTGAGTCAAAACGAGGAGTCAGGGAACTCTTCTCACCTATCTGTCTCGGTAGGCCACTTAAGACAGTCTTTTTCCTTTTAATCAAGATAGCAGAGGCTCTGCAGTAGGGCTGGGTGTTATGGAGTAAAACAAATATTATTATAAACTTTTAGTCATTTTGAAAGACTGTACATCACAGCATCTTTTTATGCATAACAAAATAACACGTGAAGTCATATTGTTGTCACACACTGGTCTACTGATAATGGAACGTGAGAGTTTAATCTGTCCCCAGGCAATATGAATATGCAAAGCTGTATGAAAATTGGCCTGATTATCTTAATTAATTATGTTTGTGGCACATGTGTGCAATATTCTATCCCATAAGCAGTGACCGCATGCATTAGGTGGATGAAGGTCAGCAGCAAAGTGCTAACTCATGTGGATTGAGGATAGGACTGGGTAGTAGTGGCCCTGGATCATTAACTTTAGTGCTGAAGAGAATTGGCTTTCAGTGTAGGCATTGCCACCCCCAAGACTCCACTCCCCTCCCATTAGTGTGTCCTGTCTTCTCACTCCCTTTCAGTCCTGCCCTCTCCCACCCTGCAAACCCCCCCTCGCTCTGTTGTCTCTCTTTCACTCTCCAAATATTAACAGGGTCATTTGAATGTCCTACATTGCTGGGAAGTTGTGATGATGTCAGCTGCTCTGCGCTGATCTCTGAATGGCTTTTTTTTTTTTTTGCTTAAAGCTGACATGAAATTGATGCCAGTTGAGGTTTTATTTTAATTACTGGCCCCGACAGTTTCATTTATTATCTAGACTGAATCCAGTTAAGTTCTCAGCTGCATACCACAAACAGTAAAACTATTCTGATAAGCAGACAGGAAAGGAAAAGTCTTGGTTTTTGCTTTGTTCTCCAGGGTGGTCTTTCACCACAGATCTATGGCCGGTGATAGGGGCAATGTCTGCTTACGGCTTTTTGTACTGTAGATTACTGACAAGGATGACTCACGGCTAATTCGCTCTATTGATGGGGATCTTTCATTTACATCCGTATGGAACAAACCAGTTGAGTCAGGTCCTCTGAGTCACACCGCTACCCCCCTCCCCCTTTCCACCATCACCTCATCACCGCAAAAACCTCCTGTGGTTGTGTATGTTGCTAAGGAGATTTTCAGAGGAAACATGTCACCTGTCCGCTCACTCAGTGAGCTTCATTTGAAGAAGAAAAGGGGAATAAAGCCACTTATCTTAAGGCTGTTGAGCTTTTGCTTGGTGCAACCCACAGTTCAAAAGCAACTCAAATACTTTTGTTTCCACACCATGGCTGCAGCTGCTCTGCAAGCTTGCCCCTCAAGCCCTTTGTGCTCGTGACCCTGCTGACCTGATGTTCCCACCATGGCCCCTGTAGGCACAGCCGTTCATGGCAGCGTGCTGAGAATAGAAAAACGTGGCAGTCAAACCTGGATGTTTAGGAGTCAAACAATACTATTTAAACAATTACACACTTTCCAGGTTATTCCAGTTCTTAGGCTGAAGCACTACAGAAGTCACTGTGAAGATATTACATTGTGCCAAAAGCTGGGGCTGAAACAAAAAGGTCCGATGAGTTCAAGTTGTGCCATGCCCCAGGACACCTATGCTATGTCATATTAGTTTTATTATGGCCTTATCAATACTTTCACTCTCCTTTTGTGTGATCAGATTACAGATGGGAGCATATTCCAGCACGGCCATGAAAGCCTCTTTAGCGTACATCTGTATATGATTACACAGAGACACTGTTTTTCACTGTCATGTTCACATTTGTATTGATTTTAGAGTCTTACTTACACAGAATATGGTATTTCACTCCCAGCTGTGTATTTTTAAATTTACTGTCAAGGCTTTAATTTGACATAGACCTCTTTTCTTTTATTCAGTTAGACTCCCAATGCCTATAACTATAAAGTTACAGAATATCCTGTTTAAGTATACATATTATATGAGCATTTCTTTCAAATCTCTGTCAGCAATACAGAAGCTGTCATAGTTATAGAGCTGAATGTGAAGGAATACCAGCTTTCAGGAAGCTTGCTGTTAGACAGCTCAATTTTCTGCTCAGTGACGATGTGTTGTTTTTTTTTTTTTCTGAAGTAGCTGAAGGCTTTCACATTCCACTTCAGTGACATCTTCATTGAGATAGTCCATTTCTTTTTAGATAGTCCTAAACCAGTCTCAATCATCTGTCAGTCACACACTGACATCCAAATCCAGAGTCTCCAGAGTCCTCAGTGGGTCTATCCCTTGAGACTTCTTGGCAGGAGTATTTAGTGTATGTGTGTGTGTGTGTGTGTGTGTTGGGATAGAGGGATCTCTCACAGTGGTGACAGCACTAGTTTGCAGTTGGATGGCGTGAGGTGAAATGGAATTCTGGGAGCTGGCCTCTGATTTCTCTGTTGACACAGAGGAATGAGGGCTGGGAAACAAATCCTGCTATCTGTAGCCCCCTTGAGACGCGCAGCCCTTCATGTTAATCTGATGACAATTTGACATGTTGGTCTGATGTTTTAATAAGCATCCACTTCTACGTAAAAGTCAGGACAGAAATGTTAGTACTAGATGGGACCGTACCACTCTGGCTTCAACTACAAATTAAGTTCAATTGTAAATGTGCCGTCATGTCTGAACAAAGTCATACAGAACTTTAACATGAAGTGTGCCATTACTTGTACAAATGTTATATAACTAATGTTTGCAAAGTGCGAGTGAAGTACACTTCTCACTCCGTACACACACACACACTCCTCTATCTTGTATTGTTATTCAACTTCTCTGTCTAATCTGCTCTGCTTTCTGCCCCCCTCTCTCTCCCCCGCTGTCCCCAGATGTTCCTGACAGTATACCTCAGTAACAATGACCAGCATTTTACTGAGGTTCCCGTTACCCCGGAGACGCTGTGCCGGGATGTGGTGGAGTTGTGCAAGGAGCCGGGGGAGTCTGACTGCCACCTGTCAGAGATGTGGCGTGGATCTGGTGAGTGACGGTGCCAGCTCACCCAGTGTTATCCTTATCCTTCAGCACACAATGAAGAGCATGAGATTTACAGTCACATGCTGTTTCGGTTGTGGGATAGGGACAGGGACAGGAGTCAGCATTCAGATAGTTGTTTGCCTTCTTCCTTTTAATTAGAGGGAAATTGCTTTTCTGAAGTAGCCCATATATGGAGATTAGCTGTATGGTCAACTGCTTGGTGATTTCTTTTTGAAGGGCTTATCTCTTCTGGGGCTGCAATACAAATGAAGCAGAGCCCATAATCCCTGTAACAAACACAAGCACCCAAACATCTCCCACATCTCTCGGGTGGGAGGATGGGGGGGTTGAGATTTTATGCCTTCCCCTTTTTTCCCCATCTCTGAGAGTCAGGAGGTATTCAGAATCAAAACTCAAGGAGCCAGGCTTCGTAGCTGTTTCCATGGTGACGCTGCCGTAAGAGTGAAGAAAGTGCCAATTATTGTGTTTGAGTACTTCCACAAGTAGTCTGAAAAGATTGTCTCATTTTGCAGCCATTTTTCTCTGCAGGCCACTACTGACTCTCCTTGAAAACACAGCGATGACATTTAGCATCAAATTTAGATGTAAAGCTATTAATAACCGGGATATTACAGGTCGTACTGATTTGTTTTGCAGTCATGCCATTATAATAGATCACTTTCATTGACCTCTGCTTGACTGTAATGTGTCAGTCCATTTGTGTAATGAAATGGTCTTAAGCAGGTTGAAGAAAATGTCTGAGGAATGGATGATGAGCCCTTTGGCTCAGTACCAACCAGAATAATTGACAACACATCACAGTTGTTTTCCCGGAGGTCATTACTCAGAAAGATCAACTAGATGCAGATGGCGGTAAAATGAATCTCATTGCAGTGTAGGCCAGCAGTGTCAGGCTAATAGTTGGACGGGATCTTGCAAAGCAAACTTCACATGCAAACTTGACCTACATTAGTATTTTCATGTGTTTTAACCTTGGCAAATTAAGTATAATTAGATATTTAATATTGAGTTTATGGGTGTGTTTTTAATCTCACCCCTGAGCACTGACATCTTTATGTATTCTGTCTGCAGAGCGAGCTGTAGGTGATGGGGAGAGGATGCTGGATGTGCTCCAACGGTGGGGACAACACAGGGCAGAGGTGCGCTTCTTTCTGCGTCACAATCGAGCCCCTAGCAGGGAGTCTGGTAAGTGTCCATCTCCAACACACAGCTCAACTGTGCATACAGACAGTGAAGCAGAAGCAAGGGTTTCTATGGTCACTTCTCTCACATGAGTCATAGTTTGGGTGAGGGCAGTCCCCAGAGAAAAGACATTTGACACCAACGTAGTAAAATCCTGACATGCCAGCAGCCTCTAAACGTACACACATCCATTCTGGTGTTAAGGATTTATGAAAGTAAATTTATATTAACAGCTTGTTTGAGGCTTAGAATGAACCAGACCACCTCTCCTCTCACACTACAGAGGTTTGGAAGTGGTGCTCTGGCGACCGCCTTTATCCAGGAAAGGTTTTATATTAGCAGGCCTCAAATCCTTGAGCAAGCCTTATTTAACCGTACTGTTGGAGGCCAGGGTGTCCCAGTCACATCGTCATAAGCCTGTTACTTTTCAGTTTTCTTAGGAACACAGAAAACTCTAGTATTTTGGTCGTGCGCTATCCTCTCAGCCCCCAGTTGCATAACTAAGCCCTTTTACCCCTCACAGCTTGAGTCTGGCCCACGGATTAGATGGCTGTTTTCCCTTCCTGTTATCTTAGCCTGCTCTTGTTTTCCCACACTGTTAGCTTAGCTCTGCTCAGTGTTTGCAACACAGCTCTGAATTACCTTTTTCTGTTGCCATATTTTTTTAAGGATGGGTACATTTGGTCTCCTGTTTCTGTGGCGTTTATATTATTTATGGGAATTCTGCTGTATTCAGTGCCACCTGTAGTATGCAGGCCGTTAAATGCTCATACTTCCTGATGCTGTGCAGGCTGCCTGACCCGTTCAGAGGACAACATTCATTTACTGCTGAATAGAGCTAGCTAAGTAATCTCACATTTAATGTCACTTATTGAGCCTTAGCACGATGTTATGTTCACACCAACACTTAACTGGTGCATGTATTTAACATGTATACTGTATGTCAAGGGTCATCTAAAACCATTATGCAAGCTAAAAGGCTTTGGTCCTAGTCCGAGGCTTTAAAGATGGGATCTGGATTGCTAGACGACCCCCCCCCCCCACCCCTTTAGCTGTCAAATGCCAGTAGCATGGTTGGATATAAGTGCATTCATGTACACAGAAAAGCACATACACACACACACAGTTGTGGGACCCACCGCCAGACGGTTATGTATTAGGTTAAATCCTGAGATTACTGCAAGTCACAAAGAGCACTGATCCCAGTTGTTTCCCAGAGGAGCTAAGATCATTCAGCACTAGCCAGTCTATTTTGCCGGGCTGTCTACTGATCTACACCCTCCTCTGCAGCAAGTCCAGACAAAGCCGTACAGTGTGTACCCTTGTTTGTCAGAGACAGTGACGGGCAAAAAGGCAAGGGGAAAGTTCCTGTCATTTTTCACAGTTGTCTGCAAAGGCCAGTAGTTAGCTCGGTTTGCTGTGTTTTTTGGTTTGGACTAAATTTAGGTAGCCGCTTTGAGGTCTTCAGTAGAATATGATGTCTGATGAATTATTTTATTGTATCGGTTACTCAGGTGGGTCAAGAGGCTCAGAGCCGAAGAGGAATGGAGTGAAGGGTCCCCCAGACAGAAGAATGGAGAATGGGGTGAGTTTGGATGTCTTCTTTATACACAATTTGAAATATGTTCAGCAGGATGCTTTCTTTTTGAAGAAAAAAAGTAAGATATAGCCTCATGAAATATTTTACCTGAGCCAGTGAAGCACTGGCAACACCTTATTCATACTTTTGCACTCTCAGTTATTTAATTTTTGAATTCAAGAGGAAAAACAATAGCCCTGAACTTCCTTTATAAGGGCTTTCCACTTCACCTCATTAAAACAACATCAGGATTACAGTCATAGCTTCCTTGGCTCATTTTAGGCAGAGGATGTTTTGATGCATCATCACCAAGTTTCCATTTTGTTCTTTAATTCCCGTCATGTGGGTCATAGATTTTTTTGTTTACAAAAATTCTGTGACCTGGTTTGTTGTTTTTTTATACTGAACAACAAGCCTACTTGATGATTTGCAAAGGGGTATGATTACTTTATTCAGTTCAGAAACGCCCTGCAGTCAGTGTATGAATGCAAGTAAAAAAATAATCAGTGCATCATGACGTGGACATGACTGTTCATATAATTTATAATTTAAGAATATCATTTGAAAATTAATGTAATACAAATCCTGAAATCACAAAAAGGCCTTTGTTGGTCCTCATATGAGAGTTTAAATAGGAATGTAAAGGGATTGCTCCACTACTCTCCCCACGTGTTTGTCTGTTGTTGCTTTTGCTTTTCTGACTTCAAGGCTACACTCATTGTCTTGTTTTCAACCTTGAATGATAGAGCAGTGATAGAGCTTATTACACAAGATTGACTGTGTTGTCTTTTGTCCTTTGTCCCTCTAATTGTCCCTGCACAGGTGGCGACACCCCGGATGGACATGACCCTGGCTGAACTACAAGAGATGGCTGCCAGACAGCAGCAACAAATAGAAGCTCAACAACAGCTCCTTGCTTCCAAGGTGCATAAAGACGAGAGTGCAAGATGAAAGGGGAGATGGGGACTGGTAGAGAGATGGGTGGATACAGGGGGTGAGGAGGTTTAAGTGGCGGAGATGAAAGTAAAAGCCAGAGGAGGAGAGAAAAATAATAGAGCAGGATTAAATAGGGGACATTGGGAGAAAGTGAGAAGATAGCACACAAAACAAAGGCACTAAAACAAGTCTAGTGCACTTATAGAAGTAAAGATGCTGAGATAGGGTGCACGTGTTGTGATAGACAGGTTAGATGAGTTGTGGATGGCTGCAGGTGTAGTGTTTATAATTTGAGAAGCCTGAGACAGCTGCCTGCCCTGGATTCTCACTGTGTAGGACTCCTCTGGTGTTTGAAGATCTCTTTTTTTTTCTTGCTTGTTTCTCATTTTGCTCTGGATTTATTGGAGACGGTGAGAAAGACATTTGACAGAAAACAGACGTGATATAATTAAATACCTGGCTGACCTTTTGTTTTTTTCTCCTTTGCCTTTTTTGGTTCTTGCTGAGGCACCTTAAAATGTTTTTGCTCTGCTGATCCACACATATGTACTGTATTAGGAAAACTTAAGCATTCTGATCTATATTATAGCAAGCCAAGGAATGTAGCTTCAAGCAGGCATGTATGTTAACTTGCATACAAGTCATGTAAACAATCAGGTATGACTATCGGCACACATCACATGGTGCAGTTCCGCATAGAGCCTGTGCTGTGATCATCTGAGAACCTGTTTGGGAGAGCTCTGTCAGGTGTACAGCACACTGTCACAGTTCAATGGCTTTTTGTTTTGAACATTTGACACTGTTTAGCTCCACAGAATGTCTTAACCCTTATTTAACCAGGTATGTTGATATAAAATGGATTCCTAACAGCCTACAGGAGCAGTTACTGGGGGAATGGCATTCTTACAGCAGCCGTTTTACTGTCAGCTCCTAACCACAGTGTGTAGTTCAAGGCCTTCTCTGAAGACACTTGGACAGCAGCTGTTTAGTAAAACATCCTCGGCAATGGATTACTCGTAACGAAAGTTAACAGGGATGTGTCTGTTTAATTATGTTTCTGACCTTTGCCCCCTTTCTCCTCTCTTTTGTCTGTCCAGGAGCAGCGGCTGCGCTACTTGAAGCAGCAGGAGCAGCGACAGCAGCAGCAGGCCTCTGAGCAGGAGAAGCTGCAGCGCCTCCGAGAGAACATTGAGAACCAGGAAACTCGGCTCAAGAAGGTTCGGGCCCTCAAGGGCCAGGTGGAGCAGAAGCGCCTGAGCAATGGCAAACTGGGTAAGCTCTAAGACTTTGTTGAATGGTTGCCTCTCAGAATGTTGTACATGGAAGGTTTGATTTTGTTTTTTGACTCCTACCTTCATAATATTCTGTGTCTCTCACTTCCCCACCTCCATCATCTTCACCCACCTTCTCTGTACCTGTGGTTCCCTCTCTTCGCCTTCCTCTCCTTTTCATCCCTCTCCCTTTCCAGTGGAGGAGATAGAGCAGATGAACAACCTGTTCCAGCAGAAGCAGAGAGAACTAGTGATGGCTGCGTCCAAGGTGGAGGAGCTCAGCCGACAGCTGGACTTGCTCAAAAATGGCAAAATGGACAACTTCCATGACAACCAGAGCTCTGTGGCTGAACTAGACCGCCTTTACAAGGAGCTACAGGTGTGCAGAAATACAACTAAGTTAAATTCAACACTAAAACAAAATTAAGCTCTAAAGACTAGAGAGTATCTTTTTTAAATTACATTAAAGTAACTTCTTTTTGTCCTCATGTCTTGTCCCTTTTGCTTAGCTGAGGAACAAGCTCAACCAGGATCAGAACACTAAGTTGCAGCAGCAGAGAGAGGGCCTGAACAAGCGCAACCTGGAGGTGGCTGCCATGGACAAGCGCATCAGTGAGCTACGAGATCGGCTGTGGAAGAAAAAGGCAGCACTGCAGCAGAAGGAGAACTTGCCTGTAAGTATTGTCACAACACAGCAGCATTAACAAAAACATTCACATCATTTGTCATCTTTTATATCTCGTGAAAGGCATTAATGTGACTTGCTCACAATTTGTCAAGCCACTATTATTCATATCTTCAAATAAGTGATGGAAATGGTTTTGATCAGAGCTCCCCCTAGTGGCCGTATAATAAAGGCTGTTTGTATCTCTCTTTACCTCCGGAAGCCTCAGACGCCCTGGCATTCAGAGCTCACCCATGCCAATGTAAGGCACCTTAACCTCACTATCTTCTGTGTGGGCAAACCTAGTGACCCCCTCACTCAAAGGACTCAATTCCTTTTCGTCTTTTTCCATGCTTTGATCTCTTTTTCTGAGATAGCTGGTGGGGATTGATCATCGTTATGATCATGTCACAGAACTGCATCTGAGTTAACACTCCCACTTCTTCACTCAGCTGTGTTTTCAGTCCCATTTGGCAGAAACAACTCCTGAAGATGAGAGAGGAGTAATGAGTGCGGGCTGACATCTCAGACAGGCAGGAATGTCAGGGGAGATGCTATCTTTTCTGGCTGCACTCCTGACAGAAACAGGAAAAGGCAAATGACTTGTTTACTTAAGACAAACAACCATCTTACTTAAAAAACTTTTCCAAACACATTTTATAATAAAATACATGACAGGATTCAACACATACTAGAAATTAGCAGGCAGAATAATCCAGTCTTTGTACTCACTTGTATGGATGTTAAAGTTTTGGCTCCGAGTTTGCTGCCTGGTGTCGCCCTGCTCCTCCTCTGCTCCTCTCGCCCCTTTCCAGGAGTTGTTTTGAACACAGGTTGCCATGGGACTGTAAATAAGAGTCAACAGACTGTGAGGAAGAAAAATTAACATGCTCACTGCTTGAGGTTGACTGCTTGTGTAGGGATAGCAAAGATGAAAGGGACGCCAGAAAGAAAACATAATCATTCAGATTGGACGATGGATGATTTATGTTTTTACCCTCTCAGATAACATGAGTAATTTTATGCTGTTCTCTATGCAGTAATTTCTGTAATTATATATCCAATCAGGTCCACTTCCTTTCAGACATAATGAAGGTGTTTCATTGGCTTCCAACATTAACGTTCTTTCTTTCAATCAAATTAACATTCAGCTAATTAACCCCAGAGATTGTTTTTCATTATATAATGCTGATTTATAACTTTGTAATGCAAATCACAAAGCTGTTTGTATTCACTGCCATCAGATTCTTTTTTTTTTCTTGTGTTGTACATTCAAAAAATAGCCTTCTTAGTTTCCAGCATGCAGTGTTTACTTAGCAGATGCTGCGTACAAGATCTAAAGTGACCTATAAGTTAGAACATAAATAATAAATGTTATAATGGAGACTAACATATCCTTCTGAAGCTCTGCTGGAAGCCTTTTAAATAAAGTAGCAACTTGCACCCTAATCCAACTTTAAAGAAGCCAAACTTTTCTTTAGATGCCCCCCTGATAATAGAGTAGGCACAGAACAGAGAGAGGTGTGTGCATGAGTGTTTGTGTTTGCATGTGTGCACATGTGTGTGTGTGTTTTTAGAGATGAAGGCATGAATAGGCCCTAGTGAGGAGGTGATTTACCCACACCCTGCCTAGAATCATAATGAGTGGGCCTTTTTCACACTCGCACAAAGACACACTCCATCCAAGCTGCTCTCTCCTCCAACCAAACAGCGAGCGTCTGGCTGACATCACCCAAAAAGCACGTATAACCATACTAACTGGAGAGAGGCAGTCTAAGAGCCTACAGTCATCCTGCTCCGTCTTAGTGACATAGGTCAGGAAACACAGAAAAGGCTTATATTAGACTGGAAAAAGGGGATTGTTTGGTGTCTTGAACTGCTGTTGCATGTTTGTGCTTTTGTTTTTTTCAAGAATGGCTATCCTGGTAAAGAGAGGGCTTCAAAAGACACTCATCTTCAGGTAACTAAACTAGTGCTGGAGCTAAACATATGTGTTTCTTTTCTTTCCGATCTTTTAAGTTTGACTTGGCACATCAGATTCCATTCGTCTTTTTTTTTTTTTTTTTGCCTTGAAACCCTTGATGAGCAAAGTGAGCCGTGTTCATCTTATTTTAGAGGGACAGCTGCTCATAATGACAGCAGCTGTAGGATGAGTTTTCGTCCAAGGGTTGAGCTGTATTTTGAAAGATGTTTCATGTACTTAGTTTAGGTTTAAAGTGAAAGTTAATCAGTCTGTGTATTGGCTTTAAAAAGCATTAACTTCTTCTTTGAGGTGATGTATTTATGACAATGTTACTGTCTTTTAACTTCAAGATTTCTCTAATTAAGCCTGAAATTAAGCTACAGGATTTAAGAGGTAGTACTGTCAGTGTGGATTTTACATCCTGTCCAAGGGGGAGAGCCCACATGTTTCCTGACTGCTTTAAAATTACTGCATGATGTTCAGTTGGAACATGGTTTTTAAAAAGCTTATAAAATGAGAGGACATGAATATTTAATAAATCTGGGTAAGTTAAAGCTTCATAAATCAGCAACTGTAATGCATATGTTTTCTTGTAGCACTGAGGTTTTTCAGTAGTAGCTAAACAGTTGGATTGCGAATAATCAGTGCCATAAAATACTAGTGGAAGTGGTTTAAAGTAGCTCAGAGGATGGTGATTTTGGTTAATCATTCCAACAGTTTGGCCCTTAGTAAAATATCTCAATTACTGTTTGGTGGATTGCCAATTTGTTGCATTTATAGACAGTCATGGTCCTCAGAGAAACATGACCCATCATCAATCCCTACCAGCAGGTCTAAATTCCCACTTCTGTCAGACTTCACTTCATGACTGTTCACCGTAAAAGCTCACACGTGTCTTTGTTATGCCCGTTCCGCTAGCACCGCCCGCAGGTTAGAAAAGTAAAGAAGACTGCATTACAAATCTTTGAACATTTCAGCTGACCACAATAAATCCTTTTGAGTTGAGTAAAATTGTGACCCGCTCTGGTGCCACCTTCAGGCCAAAGTTAGAATTTTTTGCCTCAAGACAATGAAGCTGTTTCACCATTTTCATCCATCACACAATTTTGTTTTTGTCATGCAATGAACATCAAGCTTTAGAGGACTGCTATAGACTTTTAATGTTGTTGATTAGTGCGTTAATATTAACCATGATTTCAGCATGCTTTCCATGATCTCAACTGTTTTTTGTATCATTAACAAAACATACAAATTTTCGGTTACCATTTTGTCATCTATATGTGTGTTCTTTCTCTACCCTAATACAAGATATTGTGGATTACTCTCACTGACTTATGCTGCTCCTCTTATTTTTTCTCTCCTCCCCTTACACTGAACAGGTGCCCTCAGATGGCCAAGCTGGACAGCAGTCGGGTCCGTCTCGTGTGGCGGCGGTTGGCCCGTACATCCAGTCGTCCACCATGCCCAGGGGCCCAGTGAGGCACGACCTGCTTGTAAAACCAGCATACCCGGACGGCACTGCCACTCTTCCAGCCCACGACCCACAGAGCAAGGCCAGCACAGGTGAGCAGCCAGAGACAACACACTGTCTGCAGCCTTTCACCTCTCAACTCAAGCCTTTTCCTGTCTGACCATGACTCAGTTCTCTGACACTGGAAGCGGACCTGCGCTTCTGTGTTTTTACATGTAATTTATTCAGCTACATCTGGCCATTGCTGAGTCTGCAACAGCTCACTCAGCAGCAGAGTCCAAAATAAAGCTTAAATTGTCAGACCACAAATATGTAAGGAAACCAATAGCAGAGAGTCCTCAACTACAGTTCCCTGTGTTTCTTTGTGAATGTCATCATGGAATTGGGTGTGTTTTTCTTTAACTGAAATGTGACAAGACTGTTCCGAATCCAGCAGGAGCAGAGGAGTCTGGGACACCTGCTGGTTGCGATGTCACTCTGAGCTCAGAAGGTAGCTAGTTGGATGGTGTGGTGTGACAGAGTGTTGCTGAGCCTGAACTTTGAACTCTTGCTTTCACTCTCATTACATTTTCTTAAGAACTTTTGACATGTTTTGCAGTGGGTGAACCAGTTTTTCATGCCACGGTGTGTGTCTCTTTGTGCCCATCTTCTGTTTTTCTTTTAAAATCAAGCAGAGAACAGAGTAAGCTGTTGTCGCACCAGCACCCTCTCCCAGCGGACTGCAGTAACATGTGCGCTGTGTAATGGAGGGGAACAAAGTCTGGCCGAACCAATGATGGACCAGAGCAACATAGCCCATTTAAAGATGTTCTTTGTGCCATCCTCTTTCTCAGTAATTCTTTCTCACGTGCTTCATCTCTAGACTCGCTCTCGTAGCCCTAAAGCAGTCCCCCAGTGGATAGTGGGCCAGCAGTGCGCTTTACGTTATTAAAAATGAATGATCCGACACCAAAATTAGTCATTACAAAACAACAGCAGAAGGGAAACCCCCCTCCCTCATTCCCTCTCTCACCTCCTCATCAACCATGTTTTCCCTATTCAAGCAGTTCCACATACAGGAAGTAAAAGTAACAGGTTTTTCCCAGGCTGTCATGATGCTGCACGCAATTATTTCTGCATGCTGAGTTGATTTGCAGTATGGGAAGAAGAGAGATAGGGATGGGCGGGGATGCAGAGGAATCTGCTCTTAGTGTACACCCATTCCTAGTTCTTCTCTAGCAGAGACGTTGTGCATAGCATCAGCCAGGCTCCTGGGGGTTGTGCTGGACTCTGTGTGGCCCCTCAGGGGGGCCCCTGCTTGGGCCCAGCCAACAGCATGTCTTGAGCAAGGGGAGATCTGGAGCTCTAAGGCTACTTTGTTTTTCTTGTCTTTCGAATGCATCTTCCTCAGAAGCCATGTTCTTGCTTAAGCCTCTGAAAGAGCTGCGGGCTAAGAGAAAAGGTACACACTTGTGTTTGTGTGTGTGTGCTTTTCAGCGGCTTTGTTTCATTGTGTTTATGTTTCATGAGAGTCATTCTCACTGAAAAAGATATTTTCATAATTTCCTGGCTGGATCTTTTGGTCCTGTTTGCTTGTTTTGCTGCTGTTTGTTAAAGCGTGTTTGTTGAGCTTTCTCCTCAGTTATTTTTCTGCCGCTCTAAATGGGTCAGTTGGAACAAACACATAACCTTCAGTTGAACTGACATTCTGTGTGGATTCTGACCAACCCAATCAGGTCTCGCTCGCAAAATGTGTGTGTGTTTGTTTGTTAGTGTATTTGTACAACACCTCTTGAGAGGCAGCATTTAATTACACTCTGCAGGCACTGCGATGGAAATCATCATGTTTTTGCCATCTTTGATGTGATGCAAATCTTGCTCGTTGCAAGAGCCCTCATGCTTTTGTGGCTCATCTGACTGTGGATGTCTGCGGACATGCATGGCCACTGGCTGGTTCTTAGTCAGTCAACCAAAACAACAAATGATGAGTAATGAAGAAGGCAAAATGCTATAAAATTCCCATCACTTTTCAAAAATCCATGATTGTTTGCTCTGTGCGACTCTGCATAACACACAGCTCTGGGAACGTTTATCTGGATAAATAATGGCTGAAGCGAGTTTCCTTGTGCACTGGTGCTTTATTTTATCATCCATGTCTGTGTTAAATCTTAACATTAACACACTGTTTTATTATATTTCCTTATTCTCTCCTTGCTCTCCTGCGGGTCCCACAGGCCATCAGCCATCCAAGCTGGCAGACTGGGGCTCTTCAGGTCCAGAATCCAACACCAATGGTCATGGTCCAGCTTCAACACTGCCACGAATGACCTCTCACTCCAACTCTAACACAGAACAAGGTAAGAGGCATACACACATGCAAACTACATGCACATACAGCCATTCCACAGAATCGGCATTGCAGTCTCTTCTTGTAACTGTGGAAACAGTAACGCAGCAGGACAAAAGCTTTCAAAGGGGCTTTTGTTCTGTTTTCTTTATAAACACACTGTCTGAACATGAGACAAAACTGATTTCCACCTCTACGTGTGGTTTGTGAATAGATGACACGGAACTGAAGAGGGACAGGAAGGTGCGTCCATTTTCCATGTTCGAGCCAACTGAGGTTCCCGCCACCTCCCTCCGCAAAAACCAGAGCAGCGATGACCTGGTCAGGGACGCTCAGGTGAGAGGGAATGGAAACACTGTACTCACATCCAAAAAGGAAATTAATTTGGTTATTACCAGCAGGATTACACCCTGGTGTTAAATTTTCTATCTGTCTCTCCTCTTATTTCCCCAGTCTGCTCCCAAAGCTCCAGTCAAGGTGCCTCCTCCTGTTCCCACCAAACCAAAAGGCCCTGGTGTCGTGCCCTACGGCAAACAAGGTCTCAACACAGGCACCTTCCCTAAAACCAAGCCCCACAGCCAGCAGCCCCAGGCTGCCCAGGGCCGCGGCCCTCTCCCGCCCTCACAGAGCCAGACACTCCCCTTACCCTCCAAGCAGGACACTCCACCTGCAGCCACAGTACGGCCGTTCACCCCAGAGCTGCCTTCCTCCAAAGACGCCAGCCTGAGTAAGCCCCAGACCTTAGCGGCCAGCTCCATTTACTCCATGTACACGCAGCAGCCTGGTGTGCAGGGCGCTCTCAACAGGTCTCAGAACCGCACCAATGGATTTGTCAGTGGTAAGAATATCCAATTGTAACTTTTTCAAATGTAGTGCATGAACAGTGTTAATGAATGGGGTCATTCTCATTTGGGTTCCTTGGTAATTGATTGAATAGGTGTAGTCTGTTTGGTCACGAACACATTATGTGTCCTTGTCCCTTGTCTTTATACTTACTGTAACACACAAAGTCAACAAGTATATGTACACGTCAATCTCCAGATTTACATGTCAGCCTCTGAAGTAAGTATCCTTTTAAGTGAGATGGAAATTAAATCTGAATACTAATGCTGGAGTAAAAAAAAAAAAGGTACAGCTAAAACAACGTGAGGGTCAAGATGTAAACAGGGTAAAGAAAAGTAGTATCTTGTGTCACTTAAGATATATTCACTGGTAAACATGCCCTACTGCTGTTGTCTTCAGCATACTCAACAAGAAAATATTCACACGCCACTGACCAGAGAAGCAGCGAGAGAGGTTGAGCCATCTGTTATATCTTCCCTTTACAAACGCAATATCAGGCAACCATACCTGCTGCTTCTGACTGGAACTGTGGAAATTAAATGGAACAAATTTTGTCTTCCTTTCTGCGTCTGTTCCGAGAATTTTCATGTAATTCACACTAGCTCTGTGACGTAAATACAGTACTATTTTGCTAAGACATTTAAGGGAAACAGGAAAAAACAGTTAATTAAATGAGAGACCCCCCTCCTGACAGAGATTCAGTAGATGCTGTAGATGGAAAAGACAAAGTAGAGCGTCTAAATGGGCATAGAAGAAGTTCAATATGAGTGTAATAGGTCCAGTATAATTAAGTAATCCATTATACAGTAATTAATATTGACCTGGTGTTTCATTTATTAAACAAATCGTGTATTAAATGTCATCGTGCAGCAGGTATAGAAACTGATACAACCCGGTTAAAAAAACACAAGCAGCATTTTGTAGTCTTGTTTTTATTTGATCTATCTTAACAGTGTTTATCTCTGCATCTCTTGCTTGTTGCTGACTTGATCAAAGTCTCACAGGCTGGTTATGTCAGGTGGCAGGGTTTAAATACAGTATTACAAGATTAATTAACATGATGATTTTTATTTTGTTATCATGAATGTAAAAGGGCTAATGTGGCTCCATCCTGTAGTCTAACAGCAGTGGTAACACTTGTTTTCTGTCTTCACTCGCAGTGTACGGTAAACCAGTGATCCCCAGTGGAGGCTCCCTACATCCAGACAATCCTTACGTCGACCGCCGCTCCCCTGCCCTAGAATATGAGGTTGACCACAATGGAGCCAACAACGTGGGTCCCAGCCAATCCGAGGGCCCCCAACCAGAAACAGAGCGCATCCCCCGGCCCCTCAGCCCCACTAAGCTGCTTCCCTTCATTTCCAACCCCTACAGGCATCAGAGTGATGGTGACCTGGAGGCCCTGAGGAAGAAGCTCTACAATGCCCCAAGGCCGCTGAAGAAACGCAGCTCCATCACCGAACCAGAGGGTCCCGCAGGGCCCAACATTCAGAAACTCCTCTACCAGAAGACCACACTGGCAGCTATGGAGACTGTGACTACACCAACCACTCCTACTTATGCTGGTGAAGCAGAGGCCGCGGAGGGATCTGTGGGACAGCATGTTCCCAGCTCTCTGAGTGGTGCAGAGAACCACCCATCAGAGACAGGACAGACTCTAGAGGGAGGGCAGCTCCCATCTCAAATCCCAGGTGCTAATGTTCCCGCTCCAGCCCCTGCTGAACACACCAAACCACCTTTAGCTATCCCAGAGAGTGAGGACATTATCCCCCCTCCGCCCCCATCCCACCCAGCCCCAAGGCCAGATGACGCTCTTTTCCCACCACCACCCCCTGCTGGCTTGGAGGACGCAATGTCCAACCTGCCCCCTCCGCCTCCAGAAGGCTTCCTGGAAGAGTTCCCGCCCTACCCACCACCCCCATACCCCAGTGGAGCAGAGCAGGACAGCTTGGGCGAGGACACCTTTAACATGAAGGCACCTGAGGTCACCGGCCAGGTCACTCTGCCACCGGTATGAATTACCACCTCAAACTGCTGAATCACAATTATCATGTGGCTCCCAGCTGTCTTGTTTGTGTGACTGCAGTCCTGAGTCTTCAGTATAGATTAACATCATGTGCTTTATCCTATTACATGTTGGTTTGTTAGTACCAGGGGGCAGGTCGTGATTTACAGTTTGTGCACATTCTACTTTTTAACGACGTGCTGGTTAACAAGCGCTGACCTGGCCTGATGTTACGTAATTAGATAATCCATATCAAGTACTGCTTTTGTTTCTGGAGAAAATGGGTCTAATTCTGCTTACACTAAGCGGATACCCACCCCACTTTGCCTCATTCTGTGTTGAAAATAAACACCAGTTTATGTGCTTGTTGTTAAGCTCTCAGTGAAACTCTTTAAGTGGATTTAGTGGTGGTGTGGCAGGTTTTACCCCAAAAGGAAAAAAACCAATGAGAAATCAGCATTATGACCCATTTTACTCCTTTTGTCACCTCCATTTAAGACCCATTTGGTTGCATAATCATGGTTTTAGAGAAACTATTTTGTTTGTAGATAAACTGGATTAGCAATGCACTTAGAGCTGGAAAACAAGTCCCTCCTCTGCTCTCATACCAGATTGAACACAACAGAGTGGATGCTTCCCACCTCAGTAGCACAGACTTCAGGACATAACTTTGCAGACTCACGTCTCAGATTCAACATTTCTCTTCTCTGTGTTGTGATGTTTGTTTAGGATCATTTTACACAGTTATGATTGTGTCTTTAGGGAAAGAGGACCAACTTGCGCAAGCCCAACTCTGAACGCATCGATCACAGCATGAGAGTGAAGTTCAACCCACTGGCTCTGCTGCTGGACTCTTCTCTGGAGGGAGAGTTTGACCTGGTCCAGAGAATCATCTATGAAGTAAGACATTTTCACCACAAGAAACATTTGCTATGGATTATAACATGGTTTTAATGTTGCGTTTTCAGCTGTATTAGCATTAATATTAAAGTAGAGATTATAGTTTACTGTTTGCTGGGGCTAAAACTCCCCTCACCCCTTGTAAATTCTCACAGGTGGAGGATCCCAGTCAGCCCAACGATGAAGGCATCACTGCTCTACACAATGCTGTCTGCGCTGGGCATACAGAGATTGTCAAGTTCCTTGTTCAGTTTGGTGTCAACGTCAATGCTGCTGACAGTGATGGCTGGTAAGTTCAAGTTCACTGCTGACATGGTAGATGAGTTTATCATCCCCCTGCTGTCCAGTGAAAACTATATGTCTTTAAATGTGTTGATTGTAAATGTTGGTGATAAACTTAGAGAATGAAGTGTTTCTTTATGTGTTAAGGAAATTCTCCTACTAAGCTAATTGAACTCTTTAAAAGGTCAGTTGGAAAATGCATCGTCACAAAGCTGAAAACGGCTGTTTTTCTGACCCCATGAAAAGTTAACTTTTAGAGATATGTGGTTCTCACAGGACAGCAATGCTATAAACACATAATGATCTTTTAGAATATGATGCATTGCTGTAGATTAAACCATGTGACAGTATATAAAATTGATGCAACCTTAAACATCTACAGCAGTAAAATGCAACATACATATGAATACAGCAGTAATACTTATCCAATAACATAACATATAATAGTAAAACATTGACAGGGATAATTTTACTGCACTGTGATTACTTTTAGTTTTAATACTTTTAGTATGTTTTGCTTAAAATACTTAAATACTTTTGCTTCAGTAAGGTTTTGAATGCAGGACTTTTACTAGTTATGGAGTGTATTTATTGTGGTATTAGTACTGTTACTACAGGGATACAAAAAGGATCTGAACACTTCTTCCGCCACTGCCCTTTTCCTCTGTTCTGACCTCCTTTTCCTTTCCCACCCACCCTCTAAACACAGGACACCTCTTCACTGTGCTGCATCCTGCAACAATGTGCAAGTGTGCAAGTTCTTGGTGGAGTCCGGTGCAGCGGTGTTTGCTATGACTTACAGCGACATGCAAACAGCTGCTGATAAATGTGAAGAGATGGAGGAGGGTTATACCCAGTGCTCTCAGTTCCTCTACGGTCAGTGGAAGCTATTTTTTTTTTGTTGTTGTTTTCCTATATGTTATGCATGCTTTGTTCCTTTTACTGTTTCTGTTTCTCTCTGAAACTCACCACACTTGAATCTTTTTGTGCTCATTAGTTCTCTGTGTGATCTTTAAATCCGTCTCCTCCCAGGTGTGCAAGAGAAGATGGGCATCATGAACAGGGGCGTGGTCTATGGTCTGTGGGACTACAGCGCTGAGAACCCTGATGAACTGATGTTCCGCGAGGGAGACTGCATGACCATCGTGCGCAGAGAAGACGAGGATGAGATCGAATGGTGGTGGGCTCGCATGGGCGAAACTGAGGGTTACATCCCCCGCAACCTTCTAGGGGTGAGTCATGAGTCACTGGCACTGTAATCAGGGTTCCTGCACATCCTTTAAAACTCTTGAAAGGTATTGCATTCATCAATGTAAAAATAAAGTTTTTATTGCTGTTAAAATGTCTTAAATCAATCTCAAAAGAGTTTAAAAGTTTTTTAAACTGGGCACGGTGGGAATCATAACAGTGGAATCCCACATGCCGAGTAAGAAACAAAATCAAAAGTATGCTCTAACTTTGTCTCTGCCACATGACAAAGAAGTCATGTAATATGTTACAATGAACATTTGGGCAAAAAGTTTCCGTAATCTGACATAGCTAATGTCAGTGATGTCACTTTAATTATGAGTGGCATGAAAGAGTCCTAAAATGTCTTAAATGTGTGTGTTCTAATGAAAAGTGTATTTTATGTTGAAGCATTTTATGTACAAGTGTGCATTGTTGACACGTCGTCGTCTTGTCTTTAACAGCTCTACCCCAGAATAAAGCCAAGACAGAGAACCCTGGCTTAACACACAAAGATGCCTGCACATTCCAGTCTGCCAGAACTCTCCAAAACACACACACACACACACTCATATACACACAGGCTTTAACAGACTGGGGAAGAGAAGGACACTGCTGAAATGAAGAAACAAGGACAGACCAAACAATATGAAGGATCAACTATGAACTCTTTTTCGCACTTTTTTTTCTGTATCTAAAACAGAGGGATTCTCCCTCGCTTATTTTTCCAGGCCGCACTGTGTGTACTGTGTACTTAAGACACTATTGGCATTGTTTTCCTTTATTCCACTGTTTTTGTAATTAGTGTCTGAAACTATTTCTAAACTGACAGATACACTCAAACATTGGGATGTAAATGGAACAAGCAGTATTTTCTATTGCTAGACAGTAATTTTTACACTTTTGAATAGTCTTTTAAAAACATGTTTTTCTGGGCTACTGGTTGTTTTCTAACACACTTGGGGCTCTGCATTGCATGAGGTGGATGAGTGGATGATGATGATGATGCGTTTGAGATGCTCTGTCACCATGACAATCTTTGGGGGGGCTTGTTTCTCGTCATCTGTTGAGTGACTGCGCCTCTGAATACCTGTACTGGAGGTGTGGCACTTCAGTTGTGACCGCCACTGTTCTGCATAAACAAATGCTTGGTGGTAAAAGCTTTTGATTGATCTATTGCTGTTCATTCTGTGGTCTATGATACCCCGAGAGCCAGTCTGTTTCCTGCATTGGCACATGGTTGAGATGCCATAGATACTGTGTATACACATATTTCTGTCACAGAAAATAGTGAAAAGTTACTGTAGGAATGATATCATTATGAAAATTGACTTTCAGACTCTGGCACTTTGACCAGGAAGATGTCATGCAAGTATGAATTTAATATTTCATCACAACCACGTCCTGACCATACAGCAGTGTAAGAAGGCAAGTGCAGTACCAGAAATCTTGACTTTTTGTAATAATCAGAAAGTGATGGTGACACACTAGTGTATAGTCAAAAAAAAAAAAAAAAAAAAAAGGAACTCAGTTCACAGTGAGTTACCAAAACCCATCACATATCTCTGTCACTGCAGATGTATTTATTTTTGTTACTTTTTTCTTTAGCCCTTTTGTCGGAACTATAACCACAGATGTACTGTAGTATTTCAGACATTTACAATAAAAATACTTTGTACTAAGCCTATATTGTCTTCTTGCTCGATCATGAATGCAGACTTTTATACATTTTTCCTATACTGTGATAAAGGTGAATAGAAATGTGTGGGTCTGTTTTTACACAATCTTTGCTGCCCCCTGCTGGAGATAAGTTGGTACTTTCAACTACCACAGCATGAAGACAAATATGGAGGACAGTGAGGTGTGGAAGCAGGTTATAAAATACATGAATCTTGTTGTAAAAGTGATACAGTACAGAAAATTTGATTCAGGCGGTCATAAAAAAAGACCCTAAGTATATTTTGGGCGATCCTTGTAAATTGATACCTTGCAGTATTAGATCACAGCTAAAAAAAAAGGAGGCTAATTTTCTCAACCGATCCCTTCACAACAGGGAAGTAACAAGCAGAGGAAAAGGATGTTGAACAGCACACAGCACAAATTAAGCCCGACAAAGACAGAGAGCACACAGATTTAACGAACCAGTATTTGAGTAACAGCCCAGATTAAATTAACTTAATAAATGAGCCTGTAAGTTGGTGGTGTGTTTGCAGTGTTGAATGAATGCATGATGTTGTCTGGCTAAAGCAAACTGCTACTGATATTGTAGCTTCTTCTGAAAATATTTCACTCCACAGAGAAGACGAAAGACAGCATTTAGCAGCTAGTAATGGTAACCCGTCCTTAAGTCTCCCACAGCTGGTTTAACTGCCTCTCTGAAACAACGGTTCAGGGCACAGTAAGATCAAACTGTTTTCCAAAGTCTGAAACTTCAAGAGAAAAGAGGAAGGGATGAAGTGAGCAAGTCCCTTTGTGTTTGGACCCCACTAATCACTGTTTGCAGCTATATTTAACATAATTATTGTTCAGTTTATCAGTGTTATTTAATTTATTGCACCAGTAGCGTGATATAGTATTTTTGATATCAGATAACACCCTGAAAATCTTGTTAGATTAGACATTTTAACATCTGTCCATACATTACACAGTGTGTAAAAGTCCTGAAACTGTGAAATAAACCTTTTTATTTTTACTGTGGACTCATCAAGACTAAATATAGTGAGCCTTGACTTTTTTTTCTAAGTTATATTTCCACATTAGTAGGCCTGTGTGTGTCATTTGCCCAGTGTTAAACATTAGTACAAACAAAAGGCAGGTGTTTTTAATTAATTACAGAGTGTTGCTAAATAATAACTTAATTTCCTTTTAATCACCTCACTCAACACAACACCTAACAACATGGTCCCAACAGAGTGTGGCCAGAAACAATCTGAAATATAAAAAGCATCAACATGAATTACAGGTGATAGATGACAATCTCAGGAGGAAATAACAGTAATTGGTGTAGCAAGTACTGAATGTGCATTTGTGTTTATCCGTCATTATACTTGCTGGTTCTCTGTGTTTTGTGTGTGTTCAGGGGGTTCACGGGTTCATCTATTACACCAAAGACTCCCTGGGTCAGGAGATGAGCTGACACTAGGTAGGTAGGTACTTTATTAATCCCAAAGGAAATTGCAGGAAAACTACTGTCCATATGAACTGTTTATGAAGCCTTCACCAGAGCCTGTAATACACTAATACAAGTAATGGTACAAGAATTGGCATTGAAAGAGTCAGAGCCAGCAGCTCTGTGATGTGTAAACTACAAGGCTCAGCAGTACTTTGAGTTGAATACTAACTTAAGCATGCTAACATGCTCAACATAACATGATACATTACCCCTCTATACTCCCTTTCCATGTTTAGTAAGTTTATATGGAAGCCCATTTTTCTAATGTGATGTTGAGGAAAAGATCCTGTAAGTCATTATAATGAGGAACTTCATCAAAATAAGTAGCACTGCAAAATAATGACTTAGTTTCTCAAAATAAAAAAAAGACAGCACTAAGTATTCATTTTGAGTTAGTGAGTTTTTTCCCTCATTATTTTAAGGTTTACAGCATTACTTTTAAGGAGTTTTTCATTGTGTAGCAATAATAAGTTATCATTTGAGAAAGTTTCACATTATTTCGGGACTAACTCGTTATTTTAGAATACTATGACATTATTTTGAGATTTAAGTCATTACTGTTAAGAAAGTTTTTTCATTATTTGGGACTACTAAATCATTATCTAAAGATACTACTATTATTTTTAGGGAGTTTCTCATTATTCTGAGATATTGACCCATATTTTTTAGTATGTTCTTAATTTCGTTTTATAATACTAAGTCATTATCTTGAGCTAAGTTATTATTTTGAGAACATTTCTCATTATTTTGAGATATTAAATCATAATTTTGCTAATGTTAAGCATTATTTTATGATACTAAGTCATTATTTTAAGAAGGTTCCTCATTATTTTTGATACTAAGTCATTATCTTGGGAAAGTTCCTCATAATGACTTACAGGATCTTTTTGTCATCACACTGGTGGAGATGGGCTTCCATCAGCTTCCCCAAATAACACAACCTATGTTTGGATCTAGATTGTACATAAAATATATATGATTTATATATAAACACTTTTTATGACTAGGATTTCAGCTGACTGGTTTGAGCCCGACTGTATGCTGTGTTTTGTGTGCAGGTCTCTGTGGATCTCAGTAACAGACTGGCGGGCGGGGTGAAACAGTTCAGTCCATTTTTTATTGTTATTATTAGCAAGCACACACTGGGAAGAAAAACAAAAGTGCTGCATCTTGCAATGTATTGAGTATATCCACAACATACTGTATGTCATCATAACGAACCAACCCACCACTTCTTCAGGTGCCTCTGTTGCCATGGTAACCTGTAACAGTGATGCTTCTTCCCCCATGAGCTCCAGTGAAATTCCTCTGTTTTGTCCCTTTGCGAGTTTTATGGGGTTAATGCAGCTGAATGTAAGACAAAGCCCCTACGCTGCACAAATCCCCTGATGAAATTGCATTAAGGAGTTGAGATAAAAGCTTGCATTCAACATCGACACTGCCCACTGAACACGACTAACTGCATTTATAATTGATATATACATTCATAATAGATTAAAAGTTCTGTATAACTGAGACAAGACAGTGGTGTGACAGATAGCTGCTGTTTTTCCTCTTTATAATCATCAATCTCTGCAGCACACAAGCCCTCTGTGTTGTTCTGAACATTGTGGAGACCTGCAGGGTGCATGCACACAAACAAATATCTGATCTATGTTGTTACTGTTGCCTTATGCAATATAATGACTAAAATCCCATGTATATCTCCTCTGGGCATGTTATTTCATTGGGTTTGCATCTATCTGGGGATAGGAACGGGGAGAGCGATGGAGCTGGCTTTCCTCACAGGCACCCTCATTAAGTGTTGAGCTCCTGTATCCACAACATCCACATTTACTGGGTTATGGGATCTGCTGCACCATGAATCTCACCTAATCTACAGATGCAAAATATAACATTTTACCTGAGGGTCTGGAGGAGAGGTAGAGGGAGGCGAGGATACAGATTAGGAGCCGCAGGTGGAATTATGTCTGCATGCCTGAGTGTGAGTAATGTGAGTCTCCCACAAAAGTAAAGGAAAAACCTGACTTCTCTAGTTCATGTTTCAAACATCCATTGTCAATTCATACTGACCTTGAAATTTAAAAAAGATGATCTCATGACTACTTGCAGAAAAGTTCCCCTCAGCTTCACAGAGCTTTGCAGCATCTTTAGTGTCAGTGTTTTGTTTTTATGACCCCTCACTGTGTTGCTTGACTCTCAATGCTCTTAGTGTTGTTCCTCCAGCAGGCAGCTGTTTTCAATGAAAAAGCCAACATGCCGCCAGAACAGGAGCTGCATACCATAAGTCACTTTTTGATCTCTGACTTGCTTGAAAAAGCTCCAATATTCCCACTGTACTTTTTCTGTCCAGCACCAAACGAAGTTAGCCAACATGCCAACACAACTAAAGAGCTGGATACTTCCTTAGGAAACAGAAAAAAAAAAGCTTAAACAGAGTGAATATTGGACTTACATTCACCAGGAAGCCTGACACATGATTCCAAATAAAAATCTTCCAGATGGAAAGGCCGCTGTTTGCCGTATCAGTTTATAAGGTGATAACATCTGTGTTGTCTTTACAGCTGGTTGCCTCTGGACTCAAGTGCTTAATAAGGTGATTACTTATCTTTATATATATATATATATATATATATATATATAAAGAGGTAGGACTTGATAAGTAATCACCTTACTAATTAACTATTTTATTAACCACTTTGAATGTTGTGAAGCCATCTAGGGCAAAGACACCTTTGATATGCTTAACTTCCATGTGACATGGGGCTCTGGCTAATATCTTTATTGCTTTGTCTGATGGTTAATTACCATGTGGTCCCCTGGTGCTACTGAAGGCTCCAGGGCCAAGGTGGGCCACAGGAGAATCGAGTTTTCAGGGGCTTGAAATGAAGAATTACTGATTGTTCTTACAAAGTAGCATCACTACACTATGAAATGCTTGAGAATCACATGTTTAGGTCCACTTGATTTAATCATTTTCTCCCTTTTGTCAGGAGGGATTAAAGCACTGCTGGTTTCAATCAGAAAAGCTTTATATATACAATCTGGGGTCACAGGAGAAATGTATTATCCATAGTTGTTTAATATAGGTATTTGCTCAAAATGAATAAATAAATGTATTCTGCATTCCTAGGCCACTTAAAAAAACAATGTCTTACCAAGATACAGAATTTAGAATACAAACTGTGTTACTCATACATGGGATGGATATTAAAAATTCAAAATGTACTAATAAACATGTAAGACAATGTTTTTCTACCCTCCTAACATAATGGTGTCAAGATTTTTTGACTCAGATGAAAAATGTACATTTTGCAACAGTGAACCTGAAACACTAGTAGGTTTATTTTACAGTTGTTCGCATTCTAGTTCACATTTTTGACAGACTTGGCAAAACTCATTCATCATTTCCTTTCTTTTTTTTCCCATTTATTTCCATGTAGAAGTGGAGCACAGTGTATGCAGGTGATTACATACAACACATCCAATACACAAACAAACAGTATCATTCCACCACAAAAACAGAAGAAAAAACAAAAACAAACTAAACAATGTACCTCACACAACACAGGGACAAATGGCCATACAAGAGAAATTTCATATTGGCATGGCAGTATTCCAAACTAGCTCAACAAGTTGACAAAAAATAAAATAAAAACAATAAAGAAAATTTAAGGCATTCTTGAAGAGTTTATGTGAGGTCACATATCTTTTCTCACCATCTCTCAGCTTCAATAAACTTTCCCCATCTATCAAAATAACCTTTTTTATTTGTATAATATCCTTCCAAAATAAACTGGTGTTTAAGGAAGCCCCTAAATCTATACATGTTTAAAGATCCTCCTCCAGTTGCCTTGTAAATGAACCTTTTCCCTGATAATATAATGTTTTTATATTGTTATTTTTAACCTCACCGTAAAAAGCAGATAGAATACGACAATACTAAATCTGGCCCCCTTTCAAAAACGTTTGCACACCCCTGGTATATGACTTTCTATAATGAACACACCTGGGTGGGTGGGTGTAATTCCCTCATTGCACGCTAGGTGTCAGTGTGACGCCACCCAGCAACACTGAATGGACAGGTTGCACCCGTGCACCTTTTTCACTTTGCCTCATAACTGTAACTGTCCTCGCGCAGGCTGGAGCTCATGTTACACCCCAAAAAGTGGAACTAGGAACCGTCTCATCTTCAAATAACAACGAGCTGGTTTATATAAAAGGGAGCGGACCACCTTATCCAGAGGTTGGTGGTGAGAAATAAACCGGAGAAGTGAGCGTCGTGGGAGGGCGGGCCACCTGTGACGGCAAATGAGTGGGGAAGAGGCTCGAGTCAATGCCACTGTTAGTACTGTGTGTCGCTCAGAGGGAGTTTGTGTGTATGACAGTGTGTTTCGGCGTGTAAAGTCCACTTGGATTGTCTTGAGCTCAAGGAAACCTGCATATCTTTATCTTTGAGGAAACTGTACGTGATTCAGGTAAGACACCCTGAACATTACACCATGGTTGCTTAGATACAACCGAGAGGAAAATACCTGTATTGCTCTATTGTGGTAGCTTTTATAGTATTTCTACTATAGTCATAGTTGTGTGTGATATAACTCTGTGTCGTCGTGGTTTATTTTTAATCTTTTAAAATCTTTATGACAGTTATGCAATGGTCTAAAACAGACTTGGGATATTTGTACAATATAAAATTTGGGATTAATACGTCTTATTATGGGATATTCAGTCCACCTGTGAGTTGAGCCAATTCAGACAGGTGTAAAATCCAACTAACATGATGATTGTGTGTAAAATTGGCTGTGTTTGAGTCACACAGTGAACCATAATGTGCCTTCCTGCTTCACTTCACTGCATTACCTCGTTTCAACTCATCGGGAACTGCATTTTCTGGACAGACTTCCAACCCGTAAGATTGAAAGATCAACAGGGGATGTGGGCGAACTGGACAGCATGCAAAGTAAAGCTGCAGCCTGTGATTCATATTGGGAAACATGTGGCTGGAGCACCTCTGATAGGAGTAGATCAGCTGTAAACACACATTGATGATGCTGAAGGTGCTTATAGAGCATGATTGATCTGTTGGAGATTGGTAGTCAGCCTTCTCCTGTCCAAGCTGATGGTCTTTGTAACTGTGATCGAATCATTAGTGTAGAGAAACCCAGTGAACCCCCTTATCGACCGGCTTAGTCTTTAAAAATTCAAGATGGTAAGTGGAAGGATGGGCCTGTAAGATATGCAAAGATTTGGTCATTAACACAGAGTATGTAATTGTTATATAGATAGGGTCCTTGATGGTCTCTTCTAATTGTTTTTTTTATTTCACCCCATTCTTCAAAGGATATAAAGGGGTTATCAGCTCTTACTCAAATGTTGCTCATCTATAATCAAGCGTTTATAATGGCTTAACCAATGCTTTTAGTCACGAGTAACTCATTCTGCTGCAACCACTCACTGGCATTTAGCACAGCACACAATTGGGCAGTCAGTATCTATCACGATCATGCTTTTTGTAATAATTTATTGTCCTTGCTACATCTACACTGCAAACATGATATATGTTCATGCAAAACAACAGTAAGTTGTTCCATATACCAAATAAATGTTTGCACTTTGTGTAATATTACAGTTCAGCCTGAGCTTACTATTGTTACTTCTATCTGCTTTGCACAGCATGCAGTATATTGCATGTCTCTCTGTCTCTGTTGCTCTTTTCCTCACTGACCCCAGGCTCTAAGAACAGAGAGCATTGTATGCTGCCCAGATTGCGAAGCCCTCTGAAGCAAATTTAGGATTTCAGGTTATTTATTCCAGACAGAACTATTTTGAATTGATTGTAAGCCTCCTGTTTTTTTCAGTGAGATTGGTTATTGTTTGTGAAGGTTTAAACCAGGGGTGTCAAACTCACTTTAGCTCATGGGCCACATGCAGCTCAATCAGACTAGAAAATCCATAGCATACTAACCTAAAGGCCATAACAACACCGTCACATTTTTCCTATCTTTTAGTATAAAGAAGAACATTCTGTCTCAGGTTTTCCACATTCAGTCAGTCTATTACTCACTGTCGTTACATGCACATTTTTCCATACACTTCTGTGTAGTAATGCTGGCACAAACCATATACAAATCAAAAGTTTTGAGATGTTTTAGCTGCAGCCACATCCCGAAAGGAGCCTACACAACACACAACCCCTGCCCACCACTGGTACAGGACAAACGCACAAACGCTAATGATGTCAAACGTAGCGATAATACACCTTTAAGTTCACGGAAGATGTGATTAACCTTATAAATATGAAATGTAACCCATGTCCTAACTCTAACCTTAACTGCCTCTCTTTTCTCCTCACACTTCATTGCTTACTAAGCATACTTTAAGGGCTTCCGCTTCTGGGCCAAAGAGCGAAGGGGGCCGATTATGTAGGTATGTTGGGTGACTCATGTAGCTAGTGGACTGGACAAGTAGCTTCTCCACCCACACGTATACCTACTCAAATGTTTTGTCAACAGCGTTCCACCAATATTGTTTTGATATAGACATCTGATGCAGATTCTTTTGTACTGAAGAAGCTGAATATTTTGCACAATGTTTAAAATCTTTTTTTTCTTCAGAGAACTGTATTCTTGTCAGGGTAGAAATGCCTCTAAGGTAGCATTTTACATCTACTCACTGTTTAACTTGGTCCTGAAACCTGGCACCTCTTCTTAGCCTCCACAAGTGCATCAGTATAGGGTGTGCAAAGTCATTCAGTGAGCCAGATTGGCCCCTTTGGCGGGCTGGTTCTGGTCAGCGAGCCGCATGTTTGACACCTCTGGTCCAAACTTCCTATTTTAGACTCTAGACTCGTAATCATTACTGCATTTGGACTTCCTGTAACCCCAGAGAGAACCAGCCGCAGAGTGAAAAGATTGAAACAAATAAGCTGTGAGGTTGTGTCATGCAACATTTCAGTAACACACTGGCCGTACACAGTTTGCCTCAGTGTCACATTGTCAGAAAAACTCCAGTGTCTCTGTAAAGAGCACAGTGTTACACTCACACAGTGACTGTACAAAGTGTAAAGCTACAGTACTGGGTACAAACAGAGTTCAGTTCAGTTGGCTTCCTTTTGTCTGTCTGTGAAACAAGAGTGTTTTTAAGCAGTCTGTCTCTCAGTTGAAGCACAGCTCAATGGCTTTGACTGTAATCTTCTCTACTATTCGTCACACACACACACACACACACATAGATACACACACATATCCAACTCCAAAAAACAGAGACTTTCGAGTCCTTTGGGACAATCGTCGTCTGTTGATGGAGCTGTCACTGCAGCGCTCCAATTTCCTCCATTCAAGCGGGTTTATAGACACTTTATAATTGCCTGATAAAATCCATCTCCGTGAATGGATGTCATGGGACAGAGAGCTGGCAGCGAGATCAGCAGGAAGACAGATTAGAAAGGTTAGGTCGCGAGCGGTAGAGTCACTGTGATTTCCTCTGGGTCAGCCCTCATTTTATTTTCAAAATGTCTCCCTCTACATTTTCTCAAAGTTTTGACTGGTGCGCTTCGGTGGCCAATTAACTATTGAAAGCTTCTGCATTTAGGGGGGTCGGTCCGCGGTACTCTGAGCAAGTTGAGGAGTAATGGATTTTAGATGACAGAGAATTGGGAATGTTACAATTACTGGCTCTTTGCTCTTCGCTGCTGGACTTTCCAACAGCATTTTACCTCCTTGCTCGCTGCCTTCCTCCTTTCATATTTCCTTTCCCTTCATATTCCTCTGAAACATTTCCATCTGAATAGACTCCTCTTCCTCTCAGGATTATAAGACCACACCAGGACCCCTGTGGTTGACTGACAGACTGATTGACTGAAAGGGTTCAGACCCTGACAGCTCATTTGAGTGATTTGGTGCACATGAGTCCGATAAATGACTTATAAAGAGCCCTACAGTGCACCTCCTCTGCCACCTTTTAAGGTGAGCTTAGACAAGGCTGGGAGGGCGATTGACACACCTGTACAGAGTCTGACAGGCCTCAGGAGAAGCAGCACATCCTGAAAGAGAGTACGACTGAAATAATTGGTGTCCCCAAAGTATATTTGCCGTACTGGGAACAAGACAGAGCTGTAAAAACCTTTAAAACTGCTACATTTCAGGATTAATAAAAGCAGCCTCACTGTGTTTTGAGATTATCCTGAGGGTTAGAGGCTCAAGGAGTTGTACATTTTTTCTCTACCCCTGGAGGATCACATAACATTTGCAAAGCATTTAGATTGATTTCCAACCTTCTAGCCATTGGTTTAATTTTCCTGCAGTACGGTAGAGACATCCCTTTGCAGAGACCTGAAATCCTTCACTGTGAAGATTTAGTTGACTTCACCCTTATGCTCAAATTCCTTTCTGTCAAAAATAATGAATTTGCCATCAGGGACAGTTTCTAAAACTCCTCCTTGCCAGTGTATTCAGAGAAAGTCCAACATCCAAGACTTTAGAGTCAGCTGCTGAGAAGTTGTATTCAATGCAATGAACTCACAGACAATGAGCAGTTTCATCTGGTGATCATTTAGTCTTTAAAATGTCACAAAATAATGAAAGACGCCCATCAAAAGTTGTCAGAGCCCAAGGTGATGTTTTCAGATTGCATGTTTTGTTCAGCCAAAAGACCACAACCCAAAGGTATTTTAAAACAGTGAAATAAACCCAAGAAAAACAGCAGCTCCTCACATTAGAGAAGCTGGAACAGGCAAAGATTCGATGATTCATTTTCTGTCAGTTGACCAATAGATTAATCATTTCAGCACTAAACAATCACTTCACTTTTCCCATGAGGGAAGGATAGTTTGGATTTTTGAAGTGGGGTTGTATGAGGTACTCATCCGTAGTTAGTGTCTTACCTCCAGATGGTGGTTGGCATGCCCTCAGTTTGGAGAAACAGGGAGGAATACCGCCACAGAAGCCAAGCATTGTACTGCTGTCTCATCTAGATTTAACCAAAATCTACAGCAGGTTTCACATCTCTCTGCGGAGTTCATCTCACAGAGAAATCAACTGACGCTGACTTCTGCAGGAAGATAGAAAATCAATCTAAAAAAGAATATATGTATTATTTAATGGGCTGAAAACATGCAAAACCTCTTTAGCATTGACCCCCTGGAGACACCATACTTTTAAGCTTCCAGTGATACTCTATGTATATTTACAACAGGGTGTCTTTTTGTCCGTCTGTGGATGCACATTTCTTGTTCAGGACTATACTCATGTATTTTTTCATAGTACTAGCAGTCCATGAAAGTCTTACTCAGAGCTATTGTCCTGTGGGTGGAACAGTGGGTAGTACAAAGTTATAACATCACAGTGTATGTATGCAGTACGTGCTGCATGTCCATGAGCCTGTGATTCCCCGTCTCACTGTTACTACCTACTGCTGATATAACAGTATCTCTCTTACCCACACCTGCATGCTGCTGTGTTTGTCCGTTACATTATGCAACGCTCAAGCCAGCCGTTGTCATGGTGTCAACCCTGAGGGACTGCTGGGACTTTCTGTAAGAGTGCAGTCACAGACACTTGTGCTAATGGCTTCACTTTTCTGCTCTTTTTTTTCTTTGGTTGCATCCATGCGTGTAAATAGGTTTGTGTTTGTGTGTGTGTATGTGTGCGTGGAGGAACAAGCAGCCTCCCTGGACATTCAGCTCTTTAGTGTGCTGGAGGCATGCTTTGTGAAAAGAAAGCGCAGAGGAGTGACTGTTTACATTGGGAACTGGGAAAGCATTTTGAAGACAGAGGTGGAGTATTAGCAGAGAGACAGAGAAAGAGAGACTGTTTGAAAGAGCGACACAGAGGAAAACAGAAAGAGAGATGTCACCATTCCTCCTAATAAAACTGGAGGATGTCGGTGATGCTCAATTGTATAGAATGTATTCTCAGTGTTGGTGTGTGCACTGGTGCATGTGATAGTGAGACACACACCATCTCCTCCCTCCCCTCCTCTCACCATCTTTCCCTTCAGTTCTTCAAAAAGAGGGTCTTGTCCAGCCAGAAACAACATTGGCATTCACATCACAACACACACTCATCATAGAGATGATCATATTTCAAACTCTTTCCCTCGTGGATTTGTCTCCTGCTTTCACACCTTATCGATCTGGATTGCTCCACATCTCCGCTCAAGTGTTTGTTCGTGACATTGGCACGTAGCTCTGTTTGGCAGTCATTGTTTGGTTAATGATATTTGCAGTCATGTGTTCAGCCTGGGCAGCTGCTGCTCACACACTGCAAGACTTTGCAACATGCAGCAGCATTGATCTATCTATATTTTATTGAGCGAATGCACTTTGTGTCTCTTTCATATCTCTGTCGTCATCCTTGTGAAATCCTCCACATCAGCTTATTTAATGTGTTTGAACTGTGCCGCTCAACTTTACTAGCTTTCCCTCTTTTTTTTTTAACTTCTCTGAGTTTTTGAGGTGGCACTTTGAGTCACAGTGCCCACACGCACAGCATTTTCCCTCCAGTATAGACATGACTGCTAACACTGTTGGTTTTGTGTGTGTTTTATTCTTTCAGGTTTCTTTCAAGAGGCTGCCTGCTTGTCTGCCACTGCCAGTGAGTGGGTGTGTGTGAGTCGTGGGGTGAATATGTTTGTGTGAGCGCCTTTTGCATGTGTGTACACCCCGGCTGGAGATTGTGTGTCCCATGAGACGCTCGTCGGAGATGCAGGGAGCTTGGTGCTCTGCGGTGCAGCTCCTGCTGCTGAGCTGCTGTGTGTGTGCGGCAGCCGGCTACCCATTCAGAACACCCCTGGACCTGGATGTGACTCCACGCATCACCGTGTTGAGCGGCGGTAAGCACGGACACAAGCACACAGGGGGAGGGGTCTAAAATCTGCATAATTTTTAAACAGTTTATGTTGGATCATATTCATGTTAGAAGGTCTAAGTCTTTATCATTTGACCCTTAAACGCTGAACTGATTTTTCTCTGTTTAATACCTAAAGATGACTCATAACTCAATTATTAATGCCTTGCTTTACATTCAAACTGAGAGTAACATGTTTCACGACATACATCTTGAGAGAAATTCTTCATATGTTGAGTGTCTGTATTGCAGGTGCCTCCGCCTTTCTCTTTATCTTGTTTTACTCTCTCCTGGCTCAGCTCCTTTGTCTTTTCCCTCTTTTCAATCTCATTTGTCTGCACACCAACTTGCGCATACACCCGCTTGCCTCTGGTAATTCTTACCTTCTTCTTCTGTAAATCATATAGATTTTTTTTTTTTATCAAAGTGTGATTATTATTCTTTTACCGTGTTTGAGTGATGGCATGTAGCCTGAGGTGTAACACAGACAGAGGCAAGATGAGTGAAGTGCTTACACTTGGATCCCTGCGGAGCATCCAGGGAGACTGACACCACTGTAGGTAGTTCACAGGCAGCGTAACCATGACAACTGTTGTAGTATGGCGCAAGACGGCCGTATACAGTATTTTCCTTTTTGTGCATGTGTGGGCAAGTGTGTGTGCACCTCCTCAAACCAGCGCTGTTATCTGATCCTGGACTTTATTTGTTGATACGCAGACGTGTGAAAGACATTTTCTTACATCTCCACTTTGACTTGCAGCCAGATTCGCTTTATAAGATCTACTCATAGGACAATATCCCTCCTCTACCCTTCTCTCTTTGTAAACACTTGTCTTTCTCACAATACATCACCAACTTACACTCATTATCCATTTTTTTCTCTCCTGTTACTCCTCTTGCTACGAATCTCTCTTGATACTTTTATCTCAGTTTCTGTAAATCATCGGTTAGTGCTCGAGCCTGCCCACAGGTCCTCCTACACGACTCATCCGTGTCTGCTGCCCCGTCACTCTCTCATCCACTCCCCCTCCTCTGCCATCCATCTTTCTGCCTTTGCACCTAAGGTCTGCCTCTCTTGCTCAATTTTTTCTTCATTAGTTTGTACTTTTCATGGTTGCACTGCCCTCCTTTAACTCCTTTACCTCGCCTTCACCTCTTGTCTTTGTTTCTTTTGCCTCACTCCTGCTGATGAGAAGACTTCGATATGCAAACTCACCTCTAATCCATTTAATCTCTGTGTTTCTTAGCAACCTAAAGGCAGAGCCTCCAAACCTGTGAGGGGTTGTTAAATCATGCATGGATGCTCACAAGCAATCAAACGTGTACCTGTGTTCTCTCCTCATTGCAGTGTCACCATAAAGAAAAACATATTAAGGGAGGGACATCGTTAAGGGTTATTAATTTGACGATTTCCAGTGCTCAGTTTTGAGAAGCTGAGAGGCTAAACGCTGGCAAAACAGAGAGGAAGCAGGTTGTTTTTAAGGGTGAAAACTGCTGTTACATCTAAACACCTTCTCATTGCACACACTGATTTCAACCTGTCAGGTATTTGGGAATTACAGTCAGTGGATTTAACTTTGTTTATTCAGTACCGTCTGCTGGCCTGACAGAGTACTCTGGACCGTAAACAGTCCTGACAATCGAGTGTGAATTTGTATGTAAGGCTGTCACGTCACAGCCTGTTGCCGAGAAGTTCAGAGAATGTGCGTGCTTGCGTGTGTGTCCCTGAACAGTGCATGTTGTGCTGATCAGCTGAGGTCCCTCCAAGTGTTTGCTTAGTAAATAATATCATCTGGGCTCCTCTTCGCCTCTCTCCCTCCTTGTCTTTCCCTAAAGAATGAATCAAACCTCCCTTTTCCTGCACGATCTGGTAAACTGAGGCTAAAATGTGCTGTCAAATCTAGTTAATAAATCTTCCTCTGCTCCGTCACACTCTGAGCGAGGTAGTTTTCAGTTACCTGGCTCCAGCTGTCAGGCATTGTGTGTCCTAATGCTTGGATTACACTGAGGAAACCTAGGCGTTGCCTCTGCTATAATGCATTGTCTTCACTCACAATGAGGCACTTATATCACGTAGGAAAAGGTATTGTTCTGAAAATCCCATACAGGTAATACTCTTCCTCCTCCTGCTGAGAACGAGGGAGGAAAAGTAGACACCTGATCACCCAAAGCAGTCTGGGATGGGAACCAACTGCTGCTGCTGCTGCTGGAGTGAGCAGAGTGGATTGTGTTTTGCAGCAGCTGATAGGAATCTTAATGACAACTTACTTGATAACCATGCAGTCTTCAGCAGGGAAGTGGAGTGGCAGGAAGTGTGACACTGTTCTGTTTGGCCGAGCTGAGCTGCTGTACTCATGAATTGGCAGGAAAAGTGGCCCGCTTTCAAGTTTGTAACTCTTAATTGCTGTCAACACTCCACATCAGCTGATAGTAAAACCTGCTCAGCATTAGTCACGTCAGATATTTTAATTAGACATTAAACCTCGACATCGCTGTAATTTTTTCCACAAGTGGCAACACTGCATCGCACTCTTACGTAGATGTTGTCATGCCTAGAGGTTCTCTGTGTCCGTGTGTGTGTGTTGACCGTGGTGTCATGTTTACCCAAGCTAAGTGGAGTCCTGATAGATCGTATGTTTAGAGCTTATATAACACTTGGTCATCTCATGACTTCAGCAAGTGACTTCAAAACATGTCTTGTAAGCGTGTGTGTATATGTGTGTGTGTGTGTGTGTGTGTATGTGTGTGTGCACGCGCGCTGTGCAGCATGTCTCTTTACTGAGTGTTTGTATGAGTGAAGCTCATTAGTATCTTGTCCTGTCAAAACAGATGCATCCCAATATAGCCTGGAAAACTGGACGGGGGACAGAAGCAAAGCAAAGAAAACTCAAACCACAGAAACCCACGTTAAGTAGAAGTGGCTCTCTGATATCTGATGTTGTGTTGGGCCTCTTTTCATTATCTTCTTCTTGCTCAGCAGAGCTGCGTAGGATAAGCATAATCCCTTGGCTTTTATTCTCCATGGTGGAGTTGTAATTTCATTTCTGGTCAGGGCTATATGGACTTATGTAGCTATATAAAGCTGAGAAAGGCAGAAAATCTTATGTTTGTGATGCTAGACACACCAAATCTGTGACATTTATTTGTTTGCAGCAGGACTCTTGTGTGTGGCAGTGGTTCACCAAAGAAATGTTTTTTAAATTGATGATCCTGAAGTTTCCTCCAGCACCACCATGAGGTTGATGTTCATGGTTTTAGGTGGAATGTCCCCACAACGAGTTGCAACGATAGGAGATTTCAAGGAATGGTTGAGGCAGTCGAGGAGGAAGGGAGATGCACAGTTGAGATGGCACATCCTGTTGCATTTTAAAAAAATATTGTAGATAAGCAAATGTACATGGTACGGTATACTGCTGCAACACTACTCCACAACTGTTAGATGCATCGTCATGAAATTTGGTAAAGACATTCAAGTTTATTGATGCTGTATGTGCTTTTGTTATGTCTGATTATGTAGGCCTGTTTGTCCTTTTTTGTCTGGCTATGTCTGTTAAATAGCACCTTTCAAAATACACTTACTAAGTGCTGTACAATATAACTAAACACAGTCAAAACACAGGGAGAATGAAACAAACTAAAATGTGAAATGTGTGAAATGTGTCACCAAAGTAAAGATGATATACCAAAGGTCAAAATTAATCTCAAGATAATAAATGGGAAATAAGTCAATAAGATAGCAATAAAATAGATGGACAGCTCAGATAAAACCAGCTTTCTGATAGGAGAACATTTTTAGAAGAGACTTAAACAAAGACAGTGACTCAGACAGCCTTATATCCTCGGGCAAGTCATTCCAGAGCCTCGGGGCCCTGGATGCAAAAGCTCTGTCCCCTTTAGTCCTCAGCCTGGACTCTGGATCAAACACAAGACCTCTGCCTGAGGATCTCAAGCTACGCAAAGGTTCATAAGGGACTGGAAGGTCTGAAATGTAATCTGGAGCCAGGCCATGAAGAGCCTTAAAAGTAATCAATAAGATTTTAAAGTCAATTAAGTCAAAAGTTTTCTTTACTTGGGTCTCTCGTGAAAGACATCTTGCTATTTATTTTGAGGCTATCTGATTAAATAAAAGTTGACATATCTACGTGTTCCTCTCGGGATGAATTTTAACAACTTGACTTTGATCTCTGACTTTTCATATGTATTTGGTGCTATGTGGAATGTTAACATGCCAATACTGAACAAAGATGAAAAGTAGTAAAGCCTCACAGAGCTGCTAGTGTGGCTGTAGACTCTTAGTGTTGTTCACTGTTTTCTGACATTTTATGGACTAAGCAATTAGTTGATTCATCAAGAAAATAATCTGCAAATTGGTTAATAATGAAAGCAATTGCTAGCTACAACCCTAAAACACACAAAAACAGAAAGTCTTAACATTTGATTGGACAGAAACCTTTAAATTTGGGGCCATTTTTGCTTGTTAAATGACGTAAACGTATGATCATCATTTTTTGGGCAGCCAGCTAATTTATAATTGACTAATGATTTCTGCGCTAAAAATGAGCAAAGGAAAGTCAGTAGATGAACAGTCTTAAAGGAAATGTCTACCTTTAAACATCACTGCTGCCAGAAAGCAGATATTGACAATAGAGCTGCAATGATTAGTCAGTTAATCAGTTGATTGACAGAGAATTTATTGGCAACTATTTTGATAATCGAGTACTCATTTATCATTCATGAGCGAAAAAGTGAATCATTTGCTGGTTTCCTGCTTCTTAAATTGATAATTTGGTGCTTTTCTTTGTCATACATGATAATAAACTGAACAGCTTTGAACTTTTGGACTGAAGACGTCACCTTGGGCTCTGGGAAATAAACCATTTTTAAACATTTTCTGATATTTTATTGAAAAAAAACAATTGATTTAGAAAATAATGGACAAATGAACCGATAGTGAAAATAATTGTTCGTTGTGGCCCTAACTGATAGTGTTTTGCTGTTTCATTTTTGTGTACTTTTCTTATTTCTAACTAAACACAAGCACCTGTGAAGTCACATAAAGCGATTTCCTGTGCAGCTACACTACAATGGAGTTTAATAGATTTTTTGTCAGCAGTCTAAAAAAAGAATCTGAGATTTTAGAGCGAGGCCTTCTTACCACTTTGCGCCAACGTTCGGCAATCATACAGCAAGAAATCCATCACAGGAGATGAATAAATTTCTATTTCTCTCTTTATTCTCATACTGCCAGGTTTGATTGGAAAAGTGCTTGCTCTTAATATGCCTCCACTCTGATGCCAAGAACTTTATGCACATTAAAGGGCTTTCAAAAGGCGTTCAGTGAGATGATAGTGCATGCGGGGATTTTTTTCTTTGTTTTTTGTTTAAAGTACCACATAAAAATCCAAATGACAGTATAATGAGTTTTGTATTTATGTGTACATAATACAGTAATTAGTCCAGTGGCACTACAGAGGATTAAAAAGTCAATTCCTGGAGAAAATCTGAAATTGAAGAAATGATGCTCTTTCTGAAAAATGTTATTTGTTAACCCACAGTTGTTCCCATAGAGACAGACCATAATCAATAGCAGTTGACAGTGTTTGTGTGGAGATATTTCCAGGTGGTAATGTGCCATAAAAATGAGAATCAGGCTTTTTCAACCACTTTTGCCGTTCAATAATCACACCAGGGATATGCCTCTGATAATATCTGAGGAGAAGAAAAACTGGGTTATTTTTACTGGTTTTTGCTCCCGCTGATTCTCAGTGTGTCATTTCTAAACTTTCACCAATCATATCACTGATTCAACCTTGGCGGTGTGTGTCTGTGATCTATTTTTTTTAAAGAGCAGCAGGATATGTTTTGGTAAAGAGATGTAGCAGAAGCAATCATTAACAACCAGTAACTTTCCTCTCCTTCTCCTTCTCCTGCTTCATCTCATCTCATCTCCTCTCCTCTCCTCTCCTCTCCTCTCTCCTTTCCCAGGTCTCCAGGGCTGCAGACGTTTCCACTCCTCTGCAGTCAACTACAGTACCATGATCCTGGAGGCTGACAGTGAGCGTCTCTACGTCGGGGCCCGGGGGGCTGTATTCGCTCTCAATGCCTCTGACATTTCAGCCAGCTCGCCTCTCACTGTGAGTTTGTTTGTTTCTGTGTTGTGCACCTCAGCTGCCATATCTTTAACTCTGCCACGGCTTCATTTGCATTCCACAGCACAGGAACTTTTTGAGGCAACAGTATTTCATTTTGAGGCAAAACTATTTATTCCCATGTCACCTCCTCTTGTGTGTTTGAGTGTGTGTAGTCACATTACTCTTAACACAATAATAAGACAGTTAAACCACAGGAGCATCGTGCTGCATAAACTTACATATTAATGAGAAAAAACTGAACTACTGTACCTTCTCACTGTAACTCTAAATAGATACAGAATTCATGTTATTATAATCCACGTATGGGAGCATGTTGACACAGAAAGAGTTTCTGATTTATGCAGCAATTAGCATACTATCTACCTCAACTCAGTGCTGCCAGTTTTATTGAAAAAAATATATTTAATGGCAGCAGCATAATTAATTATAAATCACAGCCATAAATAGTATCAAAAATTGAGTTCAATTATTTAAATTACTTGTGCAGTGCCTGTTCAAAACATGCCTGTTCAAGACGGTGTTTGTCTTGGGCCCCTAATCACTAAATCTGCCCCTAAAAAAACACCTAAGTTGTGGCTACTCATCAGAAACACCGGTGACATACACTTATTGGAGGTATTAATTAAGTCCCTTGCCTTGACACATCACCACTGCAGTCATAAAGTAGAGCATGGATTTAATTAGCAGAGGTATTTTGCTGGCTGTAACGTTATTAGTGTTGTAAGTTTATGTGGCAAAGAAAAACACAGCCAAATCGCGGTTACTCGTGGTCAGACCCACCAGTGAAGTGCAGTCTGCAAGACATGCTTGACTCTCTGCAGAGCCCTGAAGCCCACCCCTGCTGTTTCACAGAGCCACAGAGTGCTGTTTACCTGTTTATTCAAACTTTAATAACTTTGACAAAATTGTTTATTTAATCAATTAATTGAACATGTTGCGTGTGCGAATATCACCAAATTCAACACTGCATGTCCTTTGTGAAGGACCCACACTCAGACAGACAGATGAAGATTCCTTGCTTTATAGTTAGATGTCCATTAGCTGATGGTGAGGCCATCTATTTACATTACCTTATAGGGAGAGTTCACCCTGGAATCAAAACGCACATTTTTCCTCTTACCTGTAGTGCTATTTATCAGTCTAGATTGTTGTGTGCGAGTTGCTGAGTGTTGGAGATATCAGCCGTAGAGATGTCTGCCTTCTCTCAGATATAATGAAACCAGATGGCACTCAGTTTGTGGTGCTCAAAGCACCAAAAAATACATTTGAAAAACTCAACAGCAATGTCTCTTTCTAGAAATCAGGACCTGGTTACTCAAGATAATCCACAAACCTTGTGAGCAGTTTAATGTAGGAACTATTTTATTTTTACCAAACATTGGTGTTGAGTTTTTAAAATGTATTTTATGTGGCTTTGAGCACCACAAGGCGAGTGCCATCTAGTTCTATTATATCAGAGAGACGGCAGACATCTCTATGGCCAATATCTCTAACACTCACACCAAAACAATCTAGATTGATAAACAACACTACAGCTAAGAGGGAAATATATATATTTTTGATTTTGGGGTGAACTGCCCCTTTACGTTGTATTGCCAGCAATGTTGCTGTGATTAAGTCTCGTTCTTAAACTGCTGCGTGTTGTAGGATGATGTCAGTAATGTTGACCCTTTAAGCACACATAGAAGCCGAAAAACCTTGTTCATGTCTGCCGACAACGTGACGTTAAGCTATTATGCTAATTATGTTAATACAGCGTTGGCGTCTGTCATAAGGTATAATTGCTGGTGTGTGTGCATAACACTCCCTCACAGCCACACCTACATCTCCTACTGTAAATACACCTGTTACAGAAGAGTTAGAAAAACATGCTGCTGTTCAACAGCACAGTAAATTCAGATGTTGTGAGGTCAAAATTCCTACAGTATGAATTATTAAAGCAAAAGAGCTCACTCTCCTTTTTTCTGCTGTCAGATCTGTGGTATTTTGCTCAAATTTATGCAAGTCGCTGATATGAAACCATCCAACTTGTTGTGTGCTCTTACTGTATGTTATGTGGTGTGTGTTAGATTGAGTGGGAAGCCTCCCCCGAGCAAAAACGTCAGTGTCTGCTCAAGGGAAAAGACAATAAGGTAGGCATTTATCTCTTTCTCCCTCAGTCCTTCCTTTTCATCTTTTTGTATTGATATTCATTCCCTCACCATAATATGTTTTCTGGCTTTGTCTTCCTCTTCTAGACGGAGTGTTTTAATCACATCCGCTTCCTCCAGAGGTTCAACTCAACTCATTTCTACATGTGTGGGACTCATGCATTCAGACCCCTCTGTGCATACATAGTACGTCAATGCAAAACACATTGCAGCCCTTCGAGCACTTTAAATACATTCGATGTTTCTTTCTTCTTCTGTGCAAGTGCAGTCTGTTTGCATCTTGAATTTACTGTATAAACATGTTTTTTGTTATTCCTCATCAGAATCAGAATCAGAATCAGTTTATTTTCCATTTGCAGAAAAACTGCATTGTAAACGAGTTGCAAGAGCTCAGCATAAAAATACATGAAAAACAGTAGACAAGGTTAAAAAAACAATAAATATACATAAATATATTTATGTATATAAACATAATATATCCCAACAGGAAGTGAGGTATAATCTCATGTGTGGTTTCAAGATTAAACTAAATGTTCTGTCCTGTATAGGACGAGGAGAGGTTTGTTATGTCTCCACCTGAAGAAGGCAGAGACAAATGTCCCTACGGCCCGACAACAGGCTACACTGCCCTCATCGTCGGTAAGCACTTCCAACAGTTGTCAGTCACCTCCAGAGTTTTACTAAAAAACTGAAGAGGCTGATTAATTGTTTCTCCTCCAGACCAGCAGATGTATACAGCTTCCCAGTACGAGTTTAGGAGCTTTCCAGACATCCGCCGCAACTCTCCGTTCCCCACGCTGAAGACAGAAGATGCCCCTACACGCTGGCTGAATGGTGGGTTAATCTCCTGGAATGATTAAAGCCCTTTTAGCATGTTTAGGTGACAGGGTGGTCCAGTAGGTCAGAGCCCCTGTCTGTCAACCAGTTGAGACAATGTTTAGGCCTCCAGACTGACAAGATCTAATCTGATGAAGTAGCCACAGCAGCTCAGATACTGACCCTTTACCAGTGCCAGCTGACGATAAAGTATCATTTTAGTTTTTCTACTGATTGCTCCACTGATTGTTAAACATTGCAACTTGTGTTTAGTCAAAGCAGCAACATCTGTGGCTGAAAAATTAAGTCAGTGCTTAAGTTCTAAAAACTACACTTTCTCAAATGGCCACTTGAGGCTGGTTCCAGAAGCGAGTTGGTCTGTAGCCTACCTAACTCAGAATTATGTCAGTCAAGTCAGATTTGGCTGTTCGCAGAAATATTTGACTACTTGTTCCTTTTATTTCCATATAGAGTTTGAGAGTTTGAATGGTATTCAGCAGGACGTTCGTTGTGACAGTGACGTTCATGTAATATAGCTAACTGTCGACACTAGATGTCAAACTAAAGCCAGAGACAATATTATATTAAGTTGCTGTGAGCTGTAATTTCACCACTTCTACAGTATGCAGAAGGCAGAAGATAACTTTATCTTAGGGCAAAGCCTTTCCTCCTCTGGGCAGCTGCCTTTGTGTATGCAGCTGCCTGTACTGAAGAGCGGAGTGAAAGTGAGGAGTGCTCATTATTTTCATTTAGCCCGTGATTTAGTTCAAGTCCACCACTTTTGTCTGGACTAAAATATCTCAACAGCTACCGCATGAACTGCCATGACATTTTGTACAGACATTCATGATTCCCAGACAATGTATCTGAATAACTTTGATGATCCCCTAACTCTTCTTCGAGATCCACCATGAGGCTGACATTTGTGGTTTTCAGTACAGCCTCACAAAGCCACCAGTGTGACTGTAGACTCTTATGTTTGCTAATATATTTCTCTAGAAACGTGGTTGAAATGACTTCAATGTGATGTTTTGCAGATAACCAGAGCATCTAAACATAATCTCTTTTTGGTTTTGCTTTCACCGTCTGTTCAGACTGTTATATTCCTTTCCCCTGGTGTTACAAGTAGCAGACTGCTCAGTCGAAGATGCTTATCTGCAGCTATCTCACTTTAGCTTTATTGTTTCATGTTTTGGTGAGAAACCTCAGGCAGACAGGTAGAATATTACTTTAACTGTTTTGTTCAGAGCAACAGCTATACCTAGTTTCAGTGCATCATGTCAGCTCAGCTCATGTCAGCTGTTTTGCTAATTCATTTATCAAGTAGAAAAAAAAAAACACAGAATGTGTCAGTGCATCTTTTTCTCCACCATACAGAGGCAGAATTCGTGGGCTCGGCGCTGGTGAGGGAGAGTTTGGGCAGCAACACCGGTGACGATGATAAGATCTATTACTTTTTCACTGAAAGTAGCCAGGAGCAGACGACAACTTACAGCCACAGCCGGGTGGCACGAGTGGCTCGCGTTTGTAAGGTGAGTGCAGATTTGAAAAGATGCAGCTTATGATTTACAACTGGGAGTGAAGCCTTGCATCAGAGTAGTTTGAGTGAAGTCGTGGTTGGTGATACTGTAGGAGAGGGTGCTATAACAGATAAGGGGCTGGATGGATAATGCATTTGTAACAAGGCCCCAGTGTGATTAGAGGAGCAGACTGTGTAGCTGATGAATGGGTTGCAGAGTCAGTGTGGGTCGGAGTGAGAGGGATGGATGACTGCAAGAGAGAGACAGGCTGTTTAGCATCCTCTGCTGCCTAGAACGTGAATGATTTACATTTCCTGCTACCCAGGAAGGAGTTAAGATCAATGAGTGCTAACTGTACAGTGTAATAACCTTGTTGTTCTCTCCTGTGGCACCTTAAAATAAAGTCAGCTCACAGGTTCTCTCCTTGAAAGCTTGGCAGCATATTTGTTTTTTCATCTTAATAGAAATGCCTCGCAGTGGCATGTGTGACATTTGCAATTTGCCATAAGCTGAATACATTTAAAAGTTATCATCAAAGTGCAAGATAGATGTCAGCTGCTTGATTTTCAAAAGAATCGTGGCCTTGAGTCAGGTTTCTCCATTGTAAACCTGTCAAATATTATTCAACCTTTATGTGTGCTGCAGTTTGCTGAGGGACAAACACACACACACACACACACACACTCATACACAAACCTGTAGATTACACCAGGGAGTCTTACCTATGGGAAGCCATAATCTTATTGAAAGTATCATTATTGCTTCCACATGCCATCTGTTGCACGCTTCAGGAGGTTCACTTCCCTCTGTGTGCCACCTTGAGCCAAGTGCTCATTCTGTTTTTCAATTATCCAGGCCTTACCTCATATCACCTTGTCTGCTCTCTCCTCCTCCTCTGCTTCTCCTCTCTCCCCCACTCTTCTTCCCTCAGGGTGACCGGGGAGGCCGTTTAACTCTCCAGAAGCGGTGGACGTCCTTCCTCAAGGCCAGGCTGACATGTTCTCTGCCCGAGTACGACTTCCACTTCAACATGCTGCGCAGCGTGTTTGTCACACCTGGCCTCATGCCGCAGGACACGCTCTTCTACGGCATCTTCGGCCTGGAGTGGTGAGTGGGAACTTGTGTGTTGTCACGGCTGGAGGCGACTTTGAGGATGCAAATGTAAATGAGTGAGATAAAGATGAAAGGCAGCGATCGATACATTGAGACAGCCGAAGGAGACAGGAAGGGACGAGATGAAAGAGAGAGGTGAGACAAGGAGAGGAGAACTTTTTCAGCCAAACGATGTAAGAAAAAAAAAAAGAAGTTGGGTGAGGTTTTACAGCAGTTTGAGGGGAGAATATTAATTAGAAATGCAGATGTAGAAGTTAACCTCTTAACTCCTCACAGTGGCTCGTCCTCCTTGTTCCATTACTTCCTCACAAAAATGAAAAATTATACACTGATGAAAAACGGAGAAAAGGACCTGTTGTGTAGATGCATTTCTGATGAACAATTGCAGTTGGAAGTTAAACATAATGGGTTTAATTTAGCTGCAATATCAGAACCCATCAGCTGTCAGTTGGACAACAATAAGCCTCTGGTGGCAATGGCCAATATGTCAGGAGATCTGGTGCAGCCAGCGGACAACCTGGCAAAGACATTCTGTTCCATGCCACAACTCAATCATTATCAGACGATAGCTGATGGGTTCCAAGATTGCATTTCGGTCAGTGCGTTCCACCTCTCCACTATTTGCCTGCCTTTCAAACGTGATTGGTCAATAATATTTGGACTACAAACAGAAACAGTCCCATTGATGACACATGCTGCATACATAGATACAGACATCTGTTTAAAGAGATTACCTTAGCAAACAGGTGGCAGTCAGGCTGTTATGGTTGAGTCTGCCACTCTAAAAAACAACTACTGTACACAGAGATAATTACTGAATATTTAAACATGAAATAGCTATTGCAGAGAAAATGCAGACTATTAACATTACCAAAAAATGGGCTTGATTCCAAGAAAATCTTAAAGTTCCCATGTGTAACATTTAGGGGGATTTAGTGGCATCTAGCAGTGAAGACTGCAGATTGCCTCAGTTTTCATTGTTGAAGAGGTTTTTTTCAGGAGCCGAGTTATCCTCAGAGGTCACCTCCTCTCCAAAACGAACAGACCAGGTGATTTGAAGCAGTAAAAACACTGAATAAAGCAGTTTCACATTAGAAATCAGTGTTTCTTCCACACTGTTTGGCATGTCAGAGCAGGGCTGCCAGCCCATCACCTGCTAACCCGTGCTCACCTTTGTCCTCTGATAACTCAAGATCCAGACGTTCAGGAGATTTTTATTAGGAGCCAAATTAAAAATGAATAAAGCAGTTTCACGTTAAAGAAACTGGTGCTTTTCAGATCTACACACCAGACCTTTACAGATTATAACTAATGTACATTTGTAGAAACTAGTTTCCACTTTTCAGTGTTGTTCATTACTGCAAGGATTGTTATGGCTGTCATGCCAAAGCAGAAGATTTTGCAGTGTGGAAAGCATAAACAAACAGTCATTATTTTCAGTGTTTTTGTTGTTGGGATGCTGCTGTCTCCTCTTGATCTCCACCTCTTACCTCAACTCCTACTACACCTCTCTGAAACCAGTTTGTAGTTCTTCCGTCCTCACTCCTACTCTTCTCAGAGATGTATGACTTCTAACTATCTTCGTACTATCTCTGACAGTGCTCACCTCCTCCTCTGTGCTTCCCTCCCATTTGTGTCTTTTCATCTTTTAGATGAGCCACTGATCTACTGTACCTCTACTGCTGTCCCTATGGCAACACTGGGTTTACTGCTGTTATTGTTCCCAGCCTGTGCTCTGGTCTTTTTCTCACCCTGTGCATGTGTTGCTGTCTTTAGGAAAAACGTTAAGGCGTCTGCAGTGTGTCGGTTCTCTCTGTCTGAAGTCCAAGAGGCCTTTCAAGGACCCTACATGGAAAACCAGGACTCTGGCTCTAAGTGGAAGGAGTACACTGGAAAGATCCCTGACCCCCGACCTGGAACGGTAAACACACATGCACGCAGACACACACGCCGTCTCTTAAACACAAGATGAAGCACAGAAGAAATGTCTTCCTCCTCTTCAGCCTCCAAGTACCCACACCAGAAAACCCCAACAGAGAGCAGATGAAACTGATCAAAGTAAAGATGGAGGGAAAATGATAGAGAGGATGAGTGGCAGCCTCAAGGATGAGGTTCAAAACACAACCAGCTTATGTCACTGAAACCCATTTCCATGGCGATTAACTCCAGCCTGCAGCTTTGGCGACAATGGCTTAGCACGGCAGTCAGGGCTGTGGTTTGGTTAGCAGGAGCAGACATTATCCACTGTAGTGTCACTTCAACACTTTGTTGGACTTAATTTTAACGTTGCTATTAAACGGAAAGAAGAAATGGTCAAGGGCTTTAACTTGGGAGCGTGAAAGCCTCTTAGAGGAGTTGGCTGAAGGGAAGTCGTTCCCTTAGTCAGGTGCAGATAGAGCTGAGTCGCCCGCATGTCAGTTCAGGCCGGCTGCTGAACTCACACAGGCTCATTGTTGTCCAAGTGAAAAGTGGCATTTTCTCCCGACACTATCTTCCACAGGCTTGCATTTTCCTCTTGATCCCCTAATTTTCCCCACAGACCATCCCGCTAAGCATTGTGACATCCTCTCTGCCCTCCACATCGTGCCTTTCTTACTTGCTCATCATGCCCTCTCTCACTGCTCTCTTTGGCTTTTTTTCTGCAGTGTATAACTAAAGCTCTGAGGGCCAGGGGCATAAACGTCTCCACCTCCCTGCCCGATGATGTGCTGAACTTTGTCAGGAGGCATCCTCTGATGTCCCAGCAGGTCCAGCCTTCAGACAGACGCCCCCTTTTGTTCAGGCGGACCACAGACTACACACACATGGCCGTACACTTGATCCAAGGCTTAGATGGACGAACATACCATGTATTATACATGGGCACAGGTGTGTATGAATTCACGTTAGATTTAATTGTGCAATCTGTTAAAGAATAAATAGATTTTTGGGGAAATATGCTTTTTGCTTTCTTGCATAGAGTTAAATCAAAAGATTGACGCCACTCTCAGGTTTGTATACTAAACGTGGAGCTACAGTAAAGCCAGGAGACAGTTAGCTTAGCTTTGCATATAGACGGCTTACTCCAAAGGTAACAAAATCCACTTTCATTTTATGAGGGGTTATGCCCTGGACTTTTTCTTCTGAGTGCATTGGCCTCCTGGAGTCTTGTGTCACAGTGCTTTATAGATTACTCATTGCATACACTTCTTGACATATTTTTCTAACCCTCCAATTAGCTAGATTTTCCCATTCATTGCACTACGATGTGAAAATCGGGTCAAAAATGGCAGCCCATCATTTCATCACTGTTATTTGTTTTTGTTAAATTACAATATTTATTCATGGTTATCAGGTTGTTGATGTGTTCAAGGAGACTTTAGAGTCCAGTGTTAGTGGCCATGTTCCAAGTTCCTAGGCCACATAGTCTTTAAAGTGTATCCACAAGTCCATTAGGCGAGGAAAATGTTTAGCAAGGGTTTCACGGCAGTTGATTCTTATCCAAAGTTACATCTCAGCCCAGTCCGTTACTGATTTAATGGTCTATTTGTACTTAACATGAGACAAACTCCACAATGTAAAATATTTACCAAATACAAATGCCTGCTTAAATGATTATTGGATGCATTACAAGTTTTCAGAGAATCGATCAAAAAATGTGAAATACGCAGCATGAAGAGGAAAGTTGGAATTGTGTCTATTTCTTGCATTAAAAAGGTTGTGTTTTGCAAGAGGACTCCACATCATAGGCCCTGTTTACACCTGACATTAACATAGATCTTAGGTGATCGAATCACACATGGACAGCTTTAAGTACAGGTGTGAATGAACCCAATGCATTCTCAATGCATCTTGAGTTCGGTCTTGTCAGACCACATTTGGAGGTGGTCTGACAAATCTGCATATGGTCACGTTCTTTCAGCAGAATGTATTATAATGTGTCCTGGGACACATTGAAGGACCGCCTACTCAACTGATGTCCTTTGAACAGCGTGTCTGTGTGTGTGTGTGTGTGTGTGTGTGTGTTGCTGTGTTACCACAACTCCTTTGCGATTTAAGTAATCCTTTGCTTTGTTGTAGGGGGGAAATGATGGGAATATTAGATAGGGCTGTCCCTTGAAAGTCAGAGATTTGAATCATCAGTCAGAGACCCCTCAGTTGGATCAAACAGCTTTAAGTCGAGCAGTTTTTTTTTCAGCTAATCACTGTGTTGTGCAGTCTGGGGACATTTTGGTCCCCAGATTTTGCTGCAGAGTGAGCGCTCTTGACTTTCACGCTACTGTTTGGAACAGACCGCTGTAGACACAATGCAGCGGCACAGAGGAGGAGAAACTTTCCACTGTATGGCTCTAAGATAAGATTATCTTCTCTCCTCTGCTTGGAAGTGGTGACTTTACAGCTCACAGCAACTTAATATGACACAGTCTCTAGCTTTTGTTTGATATCTAGTGTTGGTGCAAATATGTTGCTGCACATTTCCGATCCGTCGATAGTGCTGTTAGCTTGTTTACTTTATTACAGGATTCCCGCTGTCACTCTGAACATCCTGCTGTGCCCCAGTTAAACTTTAAAACTTTACATGCATGAAAAAAACCCAAATTGTCAGATATTCTTATTAAACTGCCCAAACTCCTGTTTCTCTATGAAATCATCCACGATCTCCTGTAGTCTGTCCCCACGAGGCAAACTAATTCATAATCTGGCCTTGAGGAGTGCGTATAGAACGACAGACCTCCCACTGCTTGAAAACAACAACGCGCTAGGTCTTTGCAAATGGAAATGATGTATGTGTTTATATGCATATAGAGTGAGGAAGTGAGATCTGATCAGAAGTGGTTACTCCAGACATATGTGGAGACACATTCTTATGCCAGGTGTGAACAGACACACTTAGATCTGTCCTCCTGTGATTGGATCACTGAAGAGGGGTAAACCTCCCTCAATGGCTGCATTTCCACTCAGAGTCAACAATGTTGTAACTTTGATAAGAAACAAAATTGAAGTGGATTGCCTGTCTGAAGCAAGTCTCAAGTGTTTGCAAGTTAATTTATATTGCATACTGAAAAGACTTAAAATCAATGGCTGCCTAAAAGGTAGAAAATCAATCTAAAACACAATGAGATGTTTTGGAAACTGGCTGACAGAAATGCATGCTGGTAGTGCCGGCTACTGCGTGGTGCAGTCCTTTTAATTCCAGTGTTTGTATATGTCACTCAGATGAAGGCTGGTTACATAAAGCTGTAGAAATCGAGGGTCAGCTGCACATTATTGAGGAGCTTCAACTCTTTCAGGAACCCCAGCCTGTTGACAGCCTGCTGCTATCTGCAAAACAGGTATCAAACAGGGTGTTTGACTGTTGCATGAACATACACATTTAAGGAGTGATCTTGGTCATATAGTATTTAAATCCTCTTTGTCCCCTTCAAGATGAGCGTGTACGTGGGCTCTCCATCAGGTGTGGTACAGCTTCCCCTCTCTAACTGTCGCAGATACACCTCCTGCTACGACTGCATCTTTGCCAGGGACCCTCACTGTGCCTGGAACGGAGCCCAGTGTGTGGACGTAATGGCACAAGCAGACAGGTGGGTGGTGAAGGGTGTGTGTGTGTGATTGGATCAGATGATTAAAGTGCTGCAGGTGCCCTTTTGTGTGTTTGATTTGACAAACTTCAAGTATCGCACTGCCCTGTCACAGTGTCAGCTCCCAGAACTGTTGAGTAATCACAACACTGGCAGAAACTTGATGCCGGCTGAGATCGTAAACATGCAGCTGTGTACTTTAAGTGTGCTGATTAAACCTTGACAGATTTGCTTACTCAGTACAAAGCTGTTATGGAGACAATAAATGATATGAGACAGAATATAGCACAAAGAGATCTCAGTACCTGGACTAACAATACTGGTGATGTTTTATGTTACAGCGAGTACATGCTTGCACTAATATACTTATTGTTATGTTTTCTCCCTTTTCACAGATCCATTTTAATTCAAGACATCCAGCAAGGCAGCAGAGGATGTGAAAACACACAAGACGGTATGCTGAAATCTCATCTGCAGCAAGGTGCTGCTGCTGCTTCAAAAAAAGTTTCCTTTTTATTGCAGTGAATGATGAAAGGGAGATTAAAAATAGAGAATGTTAGGAAGGACTCGAAAGATGCATCGTTGTCATCAGATGGCATGAAGGCCTCTTTGAAAGTTGATTATGCACACTGCGTTGGCAAAATCCTCTCTTCCCTACTTTAATCACATTTTTGCCATCTCTGGAGAGAAATCTGTTTGATATTCAAGGCAGGCAAATGCCTTCTCTCTCTTCACAATTTCAATCCAATAAAATGTAGCATCTTCTGCCCCTTCATTGTTCTCTCTTTGTACAAGGTAAAATTATGGCAGGAGTAAAAGAATATGGCATCGGAGTTTATGTTTATGTTTAGTAACTACTGACAGCATATATTAAGATCAGTATGGGGTTAAGTTCTTTATATATTGAGTCAGATGCTAACATAAGATTTCACCTGTAAACTCATCCTGCGTTGTAAATTGCACACTTTTGCACACCTCTTTTTACTTAAATGCACTGCAGCTGCCCTTACACAGTGTGTGTTATTGCACACAATCAGGACATAATACTTCATCATAATATGGCTTAAATTTAGGACCTTGTTGCTCACATATTCATTGCAATCTGTAGTGGAAAATATGAGCTGTCAAAGGGCTGTCACCTGTCTGCGGCTCAGTAGATGTGATGACTCTTCTGCTGCCCAGAAGACTGTTGGTCAGAACAGCCAGAGGAGCATGCCTGCTTGCTTGCATACTGCAAAATGCGACCAGATGCAGTAGGACATTCTGGTATTTTTGGCATACTGCATTTGACATACTATGTATTGGGACACACTAAATGTTTTTCTGGCATACTTAATAGTAATGGTAGTATGGGTGTTGGAATTTATGTGTATTAATGTGTGTTGCAGATGTTGTGATGCGGAGCCGCTCTGTGCGTGTGGGTGATGACGTGCTGCTGCAGTGTGAGCTCAGCTCCAACCTGGCGACACCCCTCTGGACTCTGGATGGCAGCAAGCTGCAGGGCTACGGCCTCAACTCCGGCTTCAGAACTGGCACAGATGGCCTGCTGATCATCGAGGCCCGGCAGGACCAGAGTGGGCTGTACACCTGCTACGCTGTGGAGAACAACATCCAAGTCGCCATAGTTACCTACAATGTCACCATCCGCCTGGACCTGCCCCCTCCTCCACCCGTTGAGCCAACGGAAGACCCCTACAGTTTCTTTGCTACTCTGCCAGCACCCACTGAGCGTCCCTCCTCTGAGAGGCCCCTGCCACCGCCCCCGGCTCCTCTCCTTCCTCACTCAGAGCTGCTGTCCCCAAGGAATATGGAGGCCATGTACTTGTCCCTCATCACCATCCTCGGAGGCCTGTGTGTGGTCCTCACTGTGGTCCTTGTCTATGTGGGCTTCTGCCTACGAGTGGGCAACAGAGGGAAGTACTCATTACGAGCTGCAGCTTCTGTCTACCCGAACAGTAAGAGACACAGCAGGAATAGAAAACAGCACAGGAACTCCACCCACATGGAGCTGAAGACCATCTCAAGCCACTGTAATGGCAACGGCATTTGTAACGGAGGTTCAAAGCAGCATAACGGCAACATCCAGGATGGAGGCTTCCTCCAGATTGTCCCAGGTGAGGGTCACCCATCACCCAATAAGGAGCCTCCTCCCCCAGCCCCTCCTCTCCCACCAACCCCATCGCGTCCCTCTACAGAGTGTGACTTCCCCAACGGGCTGTCGGCCACGCTGCCCAGCGTCCTAAGGAGGATGAATGGCAACAGCTACGTGCTGCTGCGGCAGAGCGAGTCTGAAAGCACGTCACCGCTCTGTTACTCCTTTGCCGAGGAGCTCAACAGGATTTTAGAGAAGAGGAAACACACTCAGCTGCTGCCCAGGCCAGACGAGAGCTCTGTGTAGAGACGTGGCTCCCCCTGTGGTGGGAGAACTGCTGTGTTCTTACCTGGTGCTGAAGTGCCTGTCATATGACTCATTATTGTTGAGGACTAAAACAATAAGAGTCTGAACTAAATTCTTTGGATTTCTTTTTCTTTTTTTACAAATTCATGATGAGGCGTTCATTCTTTTTGCAACTGTGAGCTGCTTGTCAACCTTAATTCCCAAACACATAACAAGTGAGAATGAGAAATGCCAGTGAAGGACAGAGCATGACATGGAAAGAAAGTGTAATCTACCTCACCTCAATACTGCCCAGGAGGACTTCTGCCGTCAGTCTGTAGTCTGATCCGAGTATCAGGGCTGAGATCTCAGCTGCAGAGAGCTCCCTGATCCACAAAGCACAAAGCAAAAGACACACAGACTCCACCGAGGAGCGGAGCCCCCTGGGAACATAAATACATGTGAAGACTTCTGCTGTGTGGCGGCCGTATTTGGCTCAATCCAAACTGGAGGGCAGCTAGCCAAAGTTTGTTTGCACTGACAAGTGCGCAGATGGCCTATGCATTTTTAAAACATGACATTCACACTTTATAAATATTGAGGGAGATGGACATGGAGAGCGAAGGAATTTGGTTTGCGAGGTTCTCACTTTTCATACTGACTTAACCAGTTGCAATAACCAACACAAAATAATATTCAACTCATGACGGCTCACTTTACACCAGCCATCTTTAAGAAATGGTGAACTAATCATTATTTAATATTACTAACCATATATTTGTTTTAGGATTTCTGAATTCATTACCTTGTTTTATATGAATCATTAATGACGCATTTAATTATTAATCAATGACAATATTAATAATTCAAATAGTCATTTAAATGTGGTGTTAAAATAATAAGAAATTAAATCAATAACCCCTGACTTCCACAGTTAGTGATTTGTTGGTAATTACTTTATATGCAGGACAGGTAAAATTTGAATTATTGTTAGAATATTTGTTAACACAATAAAGCATAACTCTGCTTGGAGCCCTGATTTATGGCTGCAGCTGAGGCTCACAATCCATCATAAATGGTTAAAAATTGCCGCATGGTGACGCCTTATTATAACATTTCATCTCATGTCTGCAGTGCCTAAAAACAGGTAACAAGTGACATCATTAAACATTTTATGGGTCCATAGTATATATACAGTTTCATAAGAAATTAAAGAATAAACAAGGAAATAATGTTGTGTAACCTTTACATAATGAAAGAAATACTAAATAATGATTATTTCACCACAACCTGAAGAATATATGACAGTATTATTTTAATGCACTTTAGATACCAGTTTTAAAGCGCTTTGGGAAAGGTATTGGATGCTATATTGACTCTGCAGCCTGTCAGGAACCAGCAGGCCAGAGGAGCTTTTCATTGGCCGCCTCTCAGTATGAAGAGCTGCAGCAGCGAAGGCCACAGCTTTGTCTGCTGGACCTCGTTTGACACTAGTGGATTAGACGCAAAAACCCTGACTGTGTCTCAGCTGAGTCTCAAGCCACCGCTGAGTGACACCCTGCATGAAACTGTAACGCAGGATGACAGACTGTGGGGGCACAGCGTTCACCAAAAGCATCCAAGGTAAATCATTTATATATCTTACCAGCACATCATCTCTCCTACACAGGCACTTTGCCAAACAAGCACTTAAAGGCATAGATCACAGGGTTGGAGTGCGTGTTCACTGCACCGGTGTTTTAAAGACTGGATACATACAGAACGCTGAGAGTGCAATGTTATCGCTCAGTTTACTGGATTTAAATCCCTCTGCATGCTAACAGCTTGTTTATCTGACTGCTGGGTTGTTTATAATTTGTGGGAAAGTTTAGGTTCGGAGATGCACAAATGAGAACATCTGCTACAGACTGATTCACAGACATACTGTAGCACCTCAACCAGGACATTTCATCAGAGGAACCCAACCATGGAAGTCAAACTGCATGTTAAAGGGATAGTTTGGATTTTTTGAAGTGGCATTGAATGAGGTACTTGTCCATTGTCAGTACTAACTATAATGGGTAAGTATCATACAGCCACACTTAAAAAATCCAAACTATCCCTTTAATTTCTAGAATTCAGGATAACAGAGGAGCTTCATGCTTGACTCTCTCAGGTTCCCAGTTTCATGCTTGACAATTCTTTTGCAGTTTTGTCTTTCTAAAAAATGAAGCTAAGATAATATTCTGCTCTTTTCACTTGTATCTCAAGTTTATATCTCAACTAGTTTGGTCATTATCATTCAGTATCACACAGTTTATTTCCCTTATCAGTGTCCTCTTGCTGCATCTCACTGTTGTTGAGTCAGAGGGCAGCATTAATTAAACACTTGTCTGACCTTACTGCTGAAGGAGGGAGACAAGAGACAGAATGAGTTAGAGATCTTTCCCCAGAGATTTACAGTATGAAACACTCTCCGAGCTCCCAATTATTTTCTTATACCCCCGGGGTCAGACTGCAGATTTGTATTTTATTACTGTATGTCAAAATAGAAATGCAAAAGCATCTCAAGTACACATTCTATGCTTATGTGCACATAAAGCAATTTGTACTCCACCACAGATGATCCTGAGGCACACTTGCATTACCGCACATGTGACTGAATCCAGCAAGCCTGTGATGTCAGGGTGTGAGACATTGTACGTGCCGCTGTGGTTCTCAATAAGCCAAGCTTTCCAGTCAGTGGCACTGATCAAAGACATGAAAGGAGAAGGCCGTAGCTGCACACTTCGCACATTAAAAGCCTTCATTAAAGCCCTTTGACCTCATTTCAAAGCACAAGACATAGTCCTGCAAAAATACTGAAGATCAGTGTTGCAAATATCGAAATACTTTGAGCTGGGTTTGAAAAAGCCTTGTCCACATATATTCAGATCTGATGCTGTGACTGCTTTTTAAAATAACAAACAATGGAGCCACATTTTTGAGACTTACTGCATTTTTTTTCCCATCCTTTTTTGTTGCAGGTCTGACGTGCACAGGTCAGTTTGAGTTTCTCTTAATTCCATTCCCAGGTTATACCATCTCTCCGCCAGCGTCAGATGGCAGGACCCGCTGCAAAGGTGTTTTTTTAATGAGCAGTGAAATTAAATTCAGCATCATTAGTGGACAGTGGAGCCAGAAGAGAAAGAGAAGCCGGATAAGGGCTACAACACGAGAGTCTCTGCACCTACAGCTCAGCTTCCCCACAACTGGAATGAAAATTGTTGGCTGCACCGAGCGATGTTTGTTCCACAGACAGCAGCTCTTTGTGTGCAGCCTCTGTTTGATGCACACTTGTCAGACCAAACTCGACGTATGATGACCTTTTTCTCACACTTGCTGCATGAATTTTCGACACTGCTGTTTTTTTCCCCTTAAAGTCAAAGAAACAAGGATTCATTGTAATATTAATGAAAAGTGCCAAGGTTGTTTAAAAAGAGCTTTGTGAGCCTATTTTATTGCAAAATCAGAAAAAGAAAAGATTTTAAAAAAAGAAGCATATTTATTTTGTTATTTTGTACATTGTGTTTTGGAAGTTATTGTTAATATTGCTGTTTCGGTGCCGCTTGGGACAAAGAGGAGCGTCACAAGTCGGCTGTGTTGCACAAAATGTAATAAATAGAAGCATGATAGCCAAAAGCATGCAGAGGCACCACAGAATTTAATCTTTATAACCTACTAATGGGAGGAAAAACACAACAATTTACACGTTCACTCTAAGCTATTAATTAGGGATCATTCACTTTATCTGTCACTGTAATGTCCACACATACGTTTTGATCTCTATTTGCATGTTACACCAAGCTTGCGCACACAGCGAATTCTTTTACTAAACTAACAAAGAACAAAGGGACAGTGGGTTCCTTCACATTTCAGTCATAATGAGTTCAAATAAAACTTTGTACTTCAACCTCCTCCTCTCCTCATCATTGTTTGTGTATATTTACAGTTTGTCTCTCACATTTCACAAAGACATGCAGATGAAAGTGACTTCAACATGAAGTCAACTGTGGGTGATGAAAAGCTTGCTGCAAGATTAGTGATGATGACAAGCATAAAAGTGAAGGATAATGCTGTTGTTTTACTAACTCTGGGAATACGCAACAGCATTTTAAACCCGGACATCCATGGTGTCATCACTGAAACAATTACCAATGATTACGGGCAACTCAAGGGATTCAATTTCGTGTTTAACTCCCCCTCATCGCAACAATGTCCTAGAGGAGGCTGAGCGTTTGTATGAGCTGATAAATGCTGTCAGATACTCAGGAAAAGGAGGCGTCTGCTTTGTTACTGGAATCTAGCCTGAGCTCCTGCAGCACAGCCTGGGGCTGTAAGACAGCACGGCACAGAATGGAAAATGTTGATGTCCCAGGACTGGTTCAGATCCAACTGGAGAGTCTCAGGACAGTGTTGTTGACCAAACCCAAACATACACTACATGTCCTGTTTCACATAAAGGCATTACAAGAGAAAGTGTTAACTCTGCTTTTATAAAAGAGCAGCCGGCCCTGCTTTAATCTGAGCCTTTTGATGTGATCTTTCAGAAATGCCACAGTCAATATATAACGCGGATCTTTCCATCATCCGTGTGACCTTTCCTCATGTTCCTGGGTGAGAGGGCTGCACCCAGCTTTCAGACAATAACTCAGCTGATGTAATTTATTACAGGCAGCAGCACGACAAAACAGCCATAAATAGGACAGCCGTGTCATGCACACGCAGTCAAACACAGCCAAAGGGCGAGTTGTAAACGTGCCAGGTACCTGCAGTGTGTACAGCTTGACATGTGATTAACAAACAGTCATGGTTGGTGTGTTGCTTGTGCAACGCTGCCTCAGTTTTAATCAGGGTCAACATTAAGGACCTGATCTGCCTCACAAGTGGTGGAGTGGAATATTTTCATTTCATTTACTTAGAAATGTGTAAATTGAATAAATGTTGCTGCTTTAATGAGATGTGTGCTGATCAGCCATGACACATTACTGTCTTATTTTACATTAGAACTAAATTGATGAAAGTGTTGCAGTCAAAATGTACACATAACAGGGTACACAAAAGACTTGGGTCCTCTGGGGAGAACCCACAAGCAGTCACAAGATAAATCTGACACCAATATCTCAACATCTACTTGATGAATTTGCATATAATTTTGTAAAGATGTTCGTGTGTCCCATAATAATTTTGGTCGACTTTTCCTCTAGCACTGTCGTTAATCACCAAAGACTTGCAAAGCTAATGACGTCCCCATCACCTTTACGTTGTGTATGGTACTAATGACCAAATATTAGCATGCTAACACCTGAAACTTTGATGGTTAACATGACCAGTTAGTAACATCAGCATTTGTCATTGTGAGCATGTTAGCATGGCAGCATTAGCCTCACTCTTAGTCTTGTTCTCTTGTGAATTACCGGATAATTTGACCTCTTCTGAATATCATTCAAATTAACAAAATCCTGCTATTAATTATGATAACAAACCATCTCAAAATATTAATATAATATCTAAAAAATGATGACTTACTTTGCAGATTTGCTCTCTGGTTGCAACAAGTCATTCAGTGATGTTTTTTGAATGAAATAATGAGTTTAAAAGAATCATTGGAGTCTGAATGCAAATTTCTCTACAGAAAAGGTACAAAATGTAAGGACAGAGGGAGGACAGGATTTGTTTGTTATATAATTTAGGTGAAGTTGAGAATGAGGTTCACCTTTTGTTTTACAGTCCTGTATATGAAGACACAGGGGTAGTACTTTTCAGTAAAACAAACTATATTCATCTATCTATCATGATAGATGAGTATCTATCATGAAAAATTAGATTTTTATTTTTCAGGAAGGGAACCTTTTTTTGTGGATGAATTTCTGGGATAAAAGGCAAAGTTTTGTTTCAGGACTGAGCAGTAAAATAACATGTACGTTGGATTGTTTACTGCAACGTCATTTTAATGATTTCTGTAAACCCATGAGGGTTGTGCGTGACACAAAATTTAAAAAACTGATCAAACTTTACCAAAATAATGACTTAGTATCTCAAACAAGCGTCAGTTTGTGGGGCTAAAAATGAAGGCAACGCAGATGGGCCAAAAACTGCAGTTCCTCAAATGGCCACTTGAGGCTGGCTCCAATAAGAAAGTCAATTCCCATAGACACCAATGTTAAAATGCCCAACTTGTGGGGGGATTTTTTGTGTAACTCACCTGTTTAAATTTTATTAAGGCTTAAAGTTATGCATATTTGAAACCGGGGCTGCTTGAGGGACAGGCTGGCTCATCCACAGCTCCACCCTTTTGTCTAAACATGGTCACTTCTGTCTCATCATGGTGGCTACATCTGTTGATTTTATACAGCCTATAAAGTCAAAATAATAACTTGCTTGTCTCAAAATTATGACTTAGCATCTCAAATAATGACTAAGTATCTCAAAATGAAAATGATGGCTTACATACAGTACAGGCCAAAAGTTTGGACACACCTTCTCATTCAATGCGTTTTCTTTATTTTCATGACTATTTACATTGTAGATTCTCACTGAAGGCATCAAAACTATGAATGAACACATGTGGAGTTATGTACTTAACAAAAAAAGGTGAAATAACTGAAAACATGTTTTATATTCTAGTTTCTTCAAAATAGCCACCCTTTGCTCTGATTACTGCTTTGCACACTCTTGGCATTCTCTCCATGAGCTTCAAGAGGTAGTCACCTGAAATGGTTTTCCAACAGTCTTGAAGGAGTTCCCAGAGGTGTTTAGCACTTGTTGGCCCCTTTGCCTTCACTCTGCTGTCCAGCTCACCCCAAACCATCTCAATTGGGTTCAGGTCCGGTGACTGTGGAGGCCAGGTCATCTGCCGCATCACTCTCCTTCTTAGTCAAATAGCCCTTACACAGCCTGGAGGTGTGTTTGGGGTCATTGTCCTGTTGAAAAATAAATGATCGTCCAACTAAACGCAAACCGGATGGGATGGCATGTCGCTGCAGGATGCTGTGGTAGCCATGCTGGTTCAGTGTGCCTTCAATTTTGAATAAATCCCCAACAGTGTCACCAGCAAAACACCCCCACACCATCACACCTCCTCCTCCATGCTTCACAGTGGGAACCAGGCATGTGGAATCCATCCGTTCACCTTTTCTGCGTCTCACAAAGACACGGCGGTTGGAACCAAAGATCTCAAATTTGGACTCATCAGACCAAAGCACAGATTTCCACTGGTCTAATGTCCATTCCTTGTGTTTCTTGGCCCAAACAAATCTCTTCTGCTTGTTGCCTCTCCTTAGCAGTGGTTCCCTAGCAGCTATTTGACCATGAAGGCCTGATTTGCGCAGTCTCCTCTTAACAGTTGTTCTAGAGATGCGTCTGCTGCTAGAACTCTGTGTGGCATTCATCTGGTCTCTGATCTGAGCTGCTGTTAACTTGCGATTTCTGAGGCTGGTGACTCTGATGAACTTATCCTCAGAAGCAGAGGTGACTCTTGGTCTTCCTTTCCTGGGTCTGTCCTCATGTGTGCCAGTTTCGTTGTAGCGCTTGATGGTTTTTGCGACTCCACTTGGGGACACATTTAAAGTTTTTGCAATTTTCCGGACTGACTGACCTTCATTTCTTAAAGTAATGATGGCCACTCGTTTTTCTTTAGTTAGCTGATTGGTTCTTGCCATAATATGAATTTTAACAGTTGTCCAATAGGGCTGTCGGCTGTGTATTAACCTGACTTCTGCACAACACAACTGATGGTCCCAACCCCATTGATAAAGCAAGAAATTCCACTAATTAACCCTGATAAGGCACACCTGTGAAGTGGAAACCATTTCAGGTGACTACCTCTTGTAGCTCATCGAGAGAATGCCAAGCGATTTATCTGCCTGTAAAGCTCTCCACCTCAAAGAAATAACCTGTCAGGTAACTTAATCTGACATTAAAACACCTGTTCTATTCCTGGACCAGACATCTCAGAGAAAAAAATATTTCAACAGATCTTTTTGTCTTCCTTGTGAATCCACGCTGTGGATAAATATCATCCCAGGAGAGACAGATGAAAGGGCTGTCAGTGACAGATGATAGTGAAAAATAGGATTTTAGCTTGCAGACAATCAATCATATATCAAGGTAACCTTCGGTGAGACAGAGTAGAGAGTTGTAGGAATCATATCATTGCGGTTGATAGTTCCCGCTCCTCTTGTTTTTCTTTTTAGTTCCTGTTGGCTCTGTTGTCTCTGCTCTGCTTTGTGCTGTTTATTCGTGGCTCTAAATTCTCATTTAGACGTGTGCAGCGGTGCTTTTGTGTTTGTCACAGAAACAAGAACACAAAGACACACCCTTAAAAGCAAGTGTCCTAAAAGCCCACATATTAAACCACGGTTACACAAGTGGAAAATGTCATGTGGAACAAATCAGAAAGCAAAGTCAGTGTGACTCATTAGGACTGGCGAAAGGACAAATAGCTTGTACATGACTATCTACTTTCTGTTGCGCAAAACTGCTCAATACACTCACTGCTTTGTGTTGCAGATACAATATAACAAAGAAATGAGAAATACTGAGCTGAATTCAAGGTTTGGTGTCTAATGTTTGATGTGAAAAGGCTTATTTTTAACCTTTTCTTTCCTTCATCCACCCATCAAAAGATATTTCCCAACTCTGCGTACGTCTTCTGAATCTTTTTTGCACCCTGTGTGATGCTGGAAATGTCACACAGACAGATATGTGGTATTAAAGTTTTGACAGCTGGGATGAATTAAGAGGATCTGGAGCCTCAGTGAAGTACAGTACAGCTAATACTGCTGGGACAAGCGTGACAGCGTTGTCTTTAAGTCCTTCCCTGTGGTCTCACATCCCCCCAAAAAGGAGGAAAAACAAGTAAGAGCAAACCAAATGTATCCATTCAGTTAATAAAAACACTGATGATTTTCACTGT